TGTAACACGAGCATCTGCTTGTCCAATTTTGATGGATTCATTTCAATTGGTTAAATCCGAGGATGTGGACAAGGTGCTTGGAGGAATGAGAGCTACCACATGCATCCTAGACCCCTGCCCATCCTGGCTTCTGAAGGAGGCCAGAGGGGGATTGGCCGAGTGGGTGAAGGTGGTGGTTAATGCCTCCCTTCGGGAGGGCAAAATTCCAGCCAGCTTAAAGCAAGCTGTGATAAAACCGCTGTTGAAAAAACCATCACTGGACCCCACTCAATTCGTCAACTATCGGCCTGTCTCCAATCTCCCCTTCTTGGGCAAAGTCCTGGAACGTGTGGTGGCCTCACAACTCCAGGCATTCTTGGTAGACACGGATTATCTGGATCCGGCACAGTCTGGCTTTAGGCCGGGACATGGTACCGAGACAGCCTTGGTCGCCTTAGTGGATGATCTGCGCCGGGAGCTCGACAGGGGGAGTGTGTCCCTGTTGGTGCTGCTGGACCTCTCAGCGGCCTTCGATACCGTCGACCACGGTATCCTTCTGGGACGCCTCGCGGGGATGGGTCTTGGAGGTACTGTTCTGCAGTGGCTCCGCTCATTCTTCGAGGGTCGGTCTCAGAAGGTGTTACTGGGAGACTCCTGTTCAACCCCACAACCTTTGTCTTGTGGGGTTCCTCAGGGTTCAATACTGTCTCCCATGTTGTTTAACATCTACATGAAGCCGCTGGGTGAGATCATCCGGAATTTCGGAGTGCGATGTCATCTGTACGCAGATGATGTCCAACTCTGTCACTCCTTTCCACCTGCTACTAAGGAGGCTGTCGAGGTCCTGAACCGGTGCTTGGCCGCTGTGACGGTCTGGATGGGGGCGAACAAATTGAAATTGAATCCAGACAAGACAGAGGTACTCCTGGTCAGTCGCAAGGCCGAACAGGGTATAGGGTTACAGCCTGTGTTGGATGGGGTCGCACTCCCCCTGAAGACGCAGGTTCGCAGTTTGGGTGTGATCCTGGACTCATCGCTGAGCCTGGAACCCCAGGTTTCGGCGGTGACCAGGGGAGCATTCGCACAGTTAAAACTCGTGCGCCAACTGCGACCGTACCTTGGGAAGTCTGACTTGGCCACGGTAGTCCACGCTCTGGTTACATCCCGTCTTGATTACTGCAACGCTCTCTACGTGGGGTTGCCTTTGAAGACGGCCCGGAAGCTCCAATTAGTCCAACGGGCGGCAGCCATGATACTAACAGGAGCGGGGCGCAGGGAGCATACAACTCCTCTGCTGCACCAGCTCCACTGGCTGCCGATCTGCTACCGGGCTTAATTCAAAGTGCTGGCGTTGGCCTTTAAAGCCCTAAACGGTTCTGGCCCAACTTACCTATCCGAACGTATCTCGGCCTATCAGCCCACCAGGACCCTAAGATCTTCTGGGGAGGCCCTGCTCTCTATCCCGCCTGCTTCACAGGTGCGGCTGGCGGGGACGAGAGAAGGGCCTTTTCTGTGGTGGCCCCTCGGCTTTGGAACGCCCTTCCCATGGAGGTAAGATCAGCCCCCTCGCTGATGGTGTTTCGAAAAAGACTGAAGACCTGGATGTTCAAACAGGCATTTGGCTAATTCGGTACAATGAACTGATGACTAAAGGATTGGTAATATGGACGATGAAATTGGATTATGATTTTAGTTAAGAGATGCACTGGATTATTATCGACGGGCCAATATTGTCTATTGTGTATGTTGTTTTTTATGGTTTTAAACTGAATATTGTTGTTGTTGTACTGTTGTAAACCGCGTTGAGTCGCCAATTTAGGCTGAGAAACGGCGGTATACAAGCACAGTAATAAATAAATAAATAAATAAATAAAATCAATGCATAATAAATAGTTATTTTTAAAAGTCCGTGTCACACACCATGGCTGTGAGTAGCACCTTTGAACCCACAAACACACCAATGTTCTTTAATAAGCAAGCGGTTGTTTGTTAAGTCATAAAACAATTTGCAAAAGGTAAAATGCAATCAAAAGGAATATAAAAAGAGGTTCAAACAGCAATCCAAAAGTATGTAAATTTAACCAGCAAAGTTCTAGTGAGGAGAACCGGTTTGGTTCTTAAATCCAGAGAAAGGTCCACAGGAAATTAGTCTTTAAATTCAAGAAGGGATTAATCCAAAATCCCTTGAAAAGCTTGAAGGAAACTTGAGCAAATCCAAATACAGTTGCAGGAAATCAGGAAACAGTACACACAAAAATATCAGCATGAACATGGATCTTGAGCAGGAAATTACATGAGTCTCAGCATGAAGTAAATATATGACACAGGCATGAAGCTAGATGTTGGACTCACTAAAGAACAGGGTTGCAGAGACCCTATATTTTTTCACAATAGCCTAGGCAAAAGCATTCCCATTCCCATGAGAATGATCTTTCAAACTCTTTCTTGCTCTTATCCTGGCAGAACGCCTAACTCCCCTGTCCAGGTGGTGATCCTGACATATCTGCCCTCTACAATCAAAGATTGCCTCCTCTGCATTGCTCATTAGCACATTCCTTTTGCTTTCCCTATCTTCGGTCTCAAGCTGGTTCACATCAGACTGTCTCAAAACATCTCTGCCTTGGGAACTAGGCATCCCAGAAACCTTTCTTTCACTCTGGCTAGCTGTATTTTATAGTCTATCTTCTGCATTCACAAACCCCTGAGAATCTACAGAATCCTGTTCATTAAAATCAAACATGGAAACCTCTGCAGGGTCCTGCTCTGAAGGGTAACATAATCACATTCTTGAGGCACAGAAACAATCCCAGGCTGGACTTCTACAGTCTGAGCATGTCGTTCAATTTAATGAACTTCACTAACATATGTCTGGGCTAACATACAGTGCAATACATCAAGTTTAAATGTACTTTTCCAATAAAATTTATTTTATTTTTATTTAAAGTACTTTTTTATTTATTTTTGGTTGGTTGCTTGAATTGCAGTTAACTGAGAGTCTACTGAAGTAGGACACTTCTGGTATGTGTGCCTCTCTTGGTGACAGTTAAGTAATATCCACATATGGCATGATTCGTTTTCAGATTACTGTTGTTGGGAGGTGTGAAGTCTGGCAACTAAATAAAGGGAACTAAATATACTGAAAAAAAGGATTATTGTTAGGGTGAAAAAAATAGTGCAACGAGCAGGTGCACACATCAGGTGAATCCCAATGTGTGTCACGTGTATAACTTGGTTGGATGAAAGTCTGGTCTTCACTGTCACATTTTTCTTGGAAGAATAGGATGAATCAGGAACAAACACTGTATTTTGAAATATTGTCTACTTAAAATCTTTTAAAATTAAATAAATAAAAACTATTTGGGACTTGGAAAGTGTGATAGCAAACTAGTCATAGAATCATAGAATCATAGAATCAAAGAGTTGGAAGAGACCTCATGGGCCATCCAGTCCAACCCCCTGCCAAGAAGCAGGAATATTGCATTCAAATCACCCCTGACAGATGGCCATCCAGCCTCTGTTTAAAAGCTTCCAAAGAAGGAGCCTCCACCACACTCCGGGGCAGAGATTTCCACTGCTGAACGGCTCTCACAGTCAGGAAGTTCTTCCTCATGTTCAGATGGAATCTCCTCTCTTGTAGTTTGAAGCCATTGTTCCGCGTCCTAGTCTCCAAGGAAGCAGAAAACAAGCTTGCTCCCTCCTCCCTGTGGCTTCCTCTCACATATTTATACATGGCTATCATATCTCGTCTCAGCCTTCTCTTCTTCAGGCTAAACATGCCCAGTTCCCTAAGCCGCTCCTCATAGGGCTTGTTCTCCAGACCCTTGATCATTTTAGTCGCCCTCCTCTGGACACATTCCAGCTTGTCAATATCTCTCTTGAATTGTGGTGCCCAGAATTGGACACAATATTCCAGATGTGGTCTAACCAAAGCAGAATAGAGGGGTAGCATTACTTCCTTAGATCTCGACACTATGCTCCTATTGATGCAGGCCAAAATCCCATTGGCTTTTTTTGCCGCCACATCACATTGTTGGCTCATGTTTAACTTGTTGTCCACGAGGACTCCAAGATCTTTTTCACACGTACTGCTCTCGAGCCAGGCATCCCCCATTCTGTATCTTTGCATTTCATTTTTTCTGCCAAAGTGGAGTATCTTGCATTTGTCACTGTTGAACTTCATTTTGTTAGTTTTGGCCCATCTCTCTAATCTGTCAAGATCGTTTTGAATTCTGCTCCTGTCCTCTGGACTATTGGCTATCCCTCCCCATTTGGTGTCGTCTGCAAACTTGATGATCATGCCTTCTAGCCCTTCATCTAAGTCATTAATAAAGATGTTGAACAAGACCGGGCCCAGGACGGAACCCTGCGGCACTCCACTTGTCACTTCTTTCCAAGATGAAGAGGAAGCATTAGTGAGCACTCTCTGTGTTCGTCCACTTAACCAATTACAGATCCACCTCACCGTAGTTTTGCCTAGCCCACATTGGACTAGTTTCCTTGCCAGAAGGTCATGGGGGACCTTGTCGAAGGCCTTACTGAAATCCAGGTACGCTACATCCACGGCATTCCCCGCATCTACCCAGCTTGTAGCTCTATCAAAGAAAGAGATCAGATTAGTCTGGCATGACTTGTTTTTGATAAATCCATGTTGACTATTAGTCTGCTTGTATTATCTTGAAATTCAGATTTACAACTCCTAGAGAAATACAAAGTAATTTGTTTTAAAAGCCTCAAATGGTGAACAACGAGAACACAGCAAATAGGATCAATAGAGAGGAGAGCAACAACTGATTTTTGTGTGTCATTTTCAGAAAATAGAAAAAGAGAATCTTTCAAAAGCTCAACTATCTTCTAGTCTTTTCTTGGCAGCGTAGTCCCCAGGGTAATTCAGAAAGTCAGTGGCTATAACATGCATTATCCAACATCTTGGTGCTTGTTTCTCAGGTCTAAAACAACCCAAGTTCAGTCAGATAGGCCAGGCTGTTACTATGTTTCTAATCAGATTTCTTTTTCCTCCGCAGGGAGCCAATTGGAAAGAAGAGAGCTGGTAAGATACTTTTGCTTTCTTATTTTTGGTGTTGAGCTGTATTGTAGAAGTAAGCTGTGCAAAGCTTGACTAAAGCACATGATACTGTAGGCCACCTGCAGAATAACAGATTGAAGTCTGTCCTGAAATGTTACATCTTCTTGTTATTTTACCTTTTTATCCTCTTATTTATCTGGCAGGATAATGCACAACTAAGATGCATGTGTCAGTCTTAGGGCTTTTATTGTGTGTCTGCCCAGTGTTTTTGAGACTGTATGGAAATCCCAAAGACAAATGCTGTGTTATTAGGGTGCATTGACAGTATAACCTCCAATCAGATTGCCATTCAGCTAAACATTATTTTCTACACTTAAAGCTGACTTGTACAGTGAAGCCTGGTAAAATTTCACATTTTGATAATTTGGGGATAAAAGAGAGAGAAAGAGGTTTACTGACAAATCAATGGTGAACAAATATAAGGCAGATCTGCCTGTTAATAACTAAATACAGTACAATCTCCATATATTCAAGGAATGTGTTCCTGAATAAACTGGATACCACAGAAAATAGCAAACCCCATTGAAATGAACAACATGCACCAGAAGTTAGCATAGAGTTGCCCTGGACAACCTAGAAAATTCCTTGAGATGTGTCCTCTCTAGGAATTTACTAGGTCCTCCAGCATAACTTTATGATAACTTTTGGCAGAAGCAAACTATAGAATCACCTATAGGACCTAGAACATTTCTAGAGAGGGCATATTTTGTTGGATGCAGGTAGCCAAACTGGAGTGTCATACTGTTGTTATAATGCCAATGATGAAACTGTGTCTTCATTTGCCACCCACCAGTCTTCTTCTGCCAGTGGCTTCAATGTCAATAGGATAGTCAATCTATTTTAGATTTTAGCCTCAAGCCTGTTCCACTGCCTTCTGAATTATAGGTGAGTCAGGCAGCACAAATGAAGATAGGCTTTAGGATGTGCTCAGTAGACGGCGAAAGAAAGACATGCAACTATCTGTTGGTGGAACCAGAAGTCTTAGAAAGCCTTCATATTTGTTCAGCAAGTACAAAAGTAATCATTTATAATTGCAGACATTTCCAGAAGTCTCTTTTCTAGGCAATATTGCTTCCCTTATGTTTTATTGCATTAAAATACCAGGCAGATCAAATTCTTTGCTTCCTAGGGCAGGATTTCTGTCTATTTTTTAAAAAGAGTATCAAGAGTCAGCATGGTGTAACGGGTTGAGTACTGCACTATAACTCTGGAGACCAGAGTTTGAATCCTTGCTTGGCCATGGAGACCCACTGGGTGATCTTGGGCAAGTGACCCTTTCTCAGCCTCAGAGGAAGGCACTGGCTAACCTCCTCTGAAGAAATATTGCCAAGAAAATACTGTGATTATGCTCAACTTGAGGTTACTGTGCATTGGAAATGAAGGCACACAACCACAACAAGTTCCAGAAACAGCAAATCATCTACTTTTTCTTGTAATGAACATTTTGATATTGTTTCTGCAAGACTATCTCTTGCTTCCACCCTAGGAGGAGAGTTAGAGAAAATGTACAAATGATGTGGGCACAGCAAGCAAACAAGGAAGGGACAGCTTCTTTGGGCCAATTTAAAGAGGAGACTCCTCATTTCTGCTGCAATTGAATTGCTGCAGTGGGAAAAGTAGAATCAATAACCCATTTGTTTCAGGGCTCTCCGGGCATGCAAACATTGTACTAATGGTTTTCTCCTGAAAGAGTTTAGGATTTTTTCTTCAAAGGGATTTCTTTCTGGTGGGAGATCTGTATATCAGCAAACTTGTTTATAGCTGTGTTTTATGCATTGGTGTTGTTGTTTTGTCTTCACGAGGATCCATGTTCAGATTATATTTGCATATATAGTATCTTCTTTTCACCTTGAGAGGTCAAAATGGCATGGTTTTCTTTGGTTAACCTCCTCATTACCTTCACACTCATCTGTGTTTATATTCTTTGCATCTCCCTCATTCCCCTTCTCTACACTTTTTGTTCCTTCATTAGGATTTATCCAGAGAACGGCTTCTTTCCTTCTGAGAGGTAGTAACAGCAACACATCGCTTGGGCCTTGCTTTCACATTTCCTTTCTCAGGACCACATGTGCTATTCTTCTTGGGCAATCCAGGTGCCAGTCTCTTGCTGCTGCTTTGTGGGATTGCTGTTCCCTTCTGGGTAGGGAGTGGAGAAAAATGGGGACAGGATTCCTTTTTAAAACACCCCTATTGAACATGAGTGAGGAAAACCCAATCAGGCTGGTTTACTGCTATCTAGGTGGCAGCTCTACTGCTTTGCTGATGGTGGCTTGGGAAGATACTGCATAAAATAACTTGAGATTTCTCATGGCTGCTAGTATTGCTATATCTGAGTTGAATAAATGGCTCATTTGCATTCAATGCAAAATATCATTTATCAATTAGCTAACACTTTGGAGGAACACTATATCAGCATATAACATTTTGTTAAGTGAAAACCAAAATATGTAAACAATGGCAAACCAGCTCTGGGCAATTTTCTATTTTTATATATAATAGATAACAAAAATGGGCCAATTTAAAGCTAAACATACCATTTTATTTAGTAATGTATTAAAACTATTTATACTGTTCCCTTTAACCAAAAAGACTCTTGGAGCATCTATTACAATTATTATTATTACTATTATATTTTTTAAAATTCTAGTGGAGATTGGTGATAACCAATTGAAGCAACTATCATAAATGATTTACAGAAAATGCTGCTTTACAAATGCTGAAACACAATGATATGGCAGTACTACCAACTACCTTTTAAAAATGAACTGAGAAGTCATTTGCAAAGTGTATATGGACAGGTTCTTTGAAGGGAATAGTTTAGGTTGCTGAAAGCCTGTATGCTAATGTCTAAATTGCATTGTGGGCTGGATGTTTGCTTTGGTCTTAGTTTATGTACTTATATGTACATTATATACATGCAAACATATACACACCAATACATTGTTTGTCAGTTGTGTTTTTGCCAGATGTAAGTTGTATGCAAATTGAAGAATATTTAAACAGCTCATTACAAATATTCCTAAGGTATTCTGGTAATGTACTTTGGGGTAGGGAGCTTCCTTTAAAAAAAATGTTTATTATTATTTTATCATGGTTTAATACATTTGTTATACATTGCTTGGTTTACAGCAGATACATATTATTCGATACAACCTGTCATACTTTTGGCATCTAGTGTTATTTTTCTGCTTATACATATTCTCTATTCCTCACCGCTGTGCTCCCCTCCCCCCTCCCAAGCCACAGCTTTTACACGTCATCTGTCCAAAATTTCAGTTCTTCCTATGGAGGTAACTTTCTTTCTTTATTTTTTAATCCTTTTTCAATAAATTTTCTCCATACATCATCAAAATCACTTTGTTTCCATATACCTCTTTTAACTTTTAATATACATGTGAGCTTATCATTTATTGCCAATTTCCACACTTCCTTATACCACGATAGGGAGCTTCCTTAATGAGGTTCATGTGAAAGTTTATTTTGTTTTTCTGCAAAAGTATTGCCTTCATTGGGTCCTGACCTAAATATATATGTCAAATAATAGTGTGTTTAGAGAAGAGGTATCCCCCCCCCCCACACACACCCCTTAGGATTTCTGTGGGAATTCGTAAACTAGCACTTCTATCTCTTATGAAGTTGAATACTGTACAATTTTCCTGCTTCTTGGCAGGGGGTTGGACTGGATGGCCCACAAAGTCTCTTCCAGCTCTAGGAGTCTGTGATTCTATAAAGTGGGGGAGAACTTGACCTTCTGCAGAGCACAAGTTGAAAGAATCCATGAAGTTCAGAAACAGGAATGAGAACTAAATTTGTCCTTTATTATTTGGTTTTGTTGGTAGACTCAAAGGTTAAATTCCCTCACTCTTTCCCTTTCTTTCCATTTTAAAATAGTAAAACACAGTGTGAGTGCCACATTAATTCAATCTGTGATTATGTGGGACAACCTTACAAGCAAGGGCAATCTGAAAAAGTGCCAAGACTATATTGTTAGTTGCTATTTCGTCACACCTAAATTTGGCTTTACTCATGTGGTGCTGGCCTCTTGCTTTTGAGTTATATGTCTGACTTTCCTAGTGACAAGTCACCAGTACATTTAGCTTTTTCAAGTCCTGAAGCTGGATTGCAATTGTCAAACTTTGGACTTGAGATTTGTGAGTATGTTTTGCAAAGAAACTTTCTGTCTGATCCAGTTTTCCTTATATTCTTCTCAATTGCTCCTCACAACTACCTTTTTTCACTGATTTTATCAAACATAGTTATACTGTTTGAAAGACCTTTGATTAAACAGGAAAAGCTTTCCCCTTGACAGTCATGTCGGACTCTGGGAGGTGGTGCTCATCTCCATTTATAAGAGCTGGCATTATCCATAGACACCTCCAAAGTTATGTGGCCAGCATGACTGCATGGAGCACCGTTACCTTCCCGCCGGAGTGCTACCTATTGATCTACTCACATTTGCATGTTGTTGTTGTTGATGATGATGATGATGATGATTTTGCTGTTGTTGTCCTGATTAATTAATTAGGACAAAATGTGCTTGGCTTGTGGTTCCAAGTGCACTGGTGACTTTCAATAGAGTATTGTATCTATTTATAGAATCCATTTATATATTGTGTTAACCTAATGACAACTAAAGCCATGCATGATCATCATTTGTTATTTAATCACTTGGTATACCTGATTTGTTGGAGCCAAATATGTGAAAAATGAGTGAGTCAGTCATTGATGGTGTGAAGTCTTATACGTTATGATTAATTTATAATGGCAAGTTACCACATAAACTGAAGTACTGTGATAAATTTGCATATGTGAACTACTTGAACTGTAATTTCTACAAACTTCTCTTGAAAGGTTAAAATGTGGCATTTCTTTTAAAAGTCCCATATGTTCACAGAGACGGAAACTTTGTTAATTTTGCTTCCCAGTTTGGCAGTTGGAAATTACTGTCCTGAGAAAAAGGACAGCAATTCTTGCTGAAAATAATTCCCTGCTTTTCCTCTCAATTCTGTTTACTACTTTGTGTTTCTGGTTTAATAGGTACTTTAGAAGCACCAGAGCTGCATTCCGAAGCTGTAAATAACCCTATGAGTAATTATATGAAGAGTTGGGGTCAGGGAAAAGGTTCTCTTCTCCTTTCCTAAAGTTGCTGCCTTTTATAGGCTGGATGAACACTTTAGCTTTGACAAAGTGGCAGCTGGCATTGGATAGGCAATAGGGCCTAATTTTAAAGCAGAGGCATTATTCTCCAAGAGTTACATTTTGTCTCCTCTTTTCATCTCTTTATAATAAGCTGGACTGGAAAGACACAGTAATTCGAAGTTACAGGACCTATGTGTTGCTTGCCTGGAGCGTTGTGGAGAATTGTTAATAGTGGAAAACTGTATTTTATTCATTGTATTCAACGAAACTGACCTTTTCAAAAACTGAGCTCCTTGACATGATTAGAATGTAATAAACTAAAAGCAGTTAAGATCCCATCCAGCAATTTTGCCTGTGCCATACCACCAGTCTATTCTCCAATGTGATTTCTTAAGTTGTTGGAGGTGCTATTCTCCAACAGAGTTAGTTTGTCTTGCCAAATCTTACATGCAGAACCAAGTTGCTTTTATCACTTAGGTCACTTATCTTGTCTTCACTTATTTTCACATCAAGCTCATTTGGTGCGACATCGCTGTTTTTCTTTTAACTTATTTGCTAAAACTATTTAATTCTTATTCAAAATTTTGTTTTATTCTGAGATGGGGAACCTATTTTTGAAGAAACATGCAAAGATTGTGCTACCAGTGAGGCCAGATGATAACATGGAAACCTTCAGGAGATGAAAATTCTGCCTTGGTTATTTTCTTATTCAAGAAAAGCTAGAATCGAAGGTCAGGTGGTTCTTAGATTATTCTTCCGTTGTAAGGCTGAGATCCTGTTCAGTGCAGCTAAGTTTTCTAAAATTGTAGATAATGTTCTGAGGCCATTCCAGGTGATATGCAGATACTTGTTTGAGGTCACAGGAGCAGAAATGTAGCAGTATGCCTGACTGGCTTTTAAGTTGGACCATCACACGGGACCATTAAACTGTGGGCAAATTGGGAACTGTTTGTATCAGGAGGTACTGACCACCTCCTTATATAAACAAGTGTGAGAAAAGGATAGTTTGTTGTCGAAGGCTTTCATGGTCAGAATCACTGGGTTGCTGTGAGTTTTCCAGGCTGTGTGGCCATGTTCCAGAAGGAAAGAATGCCTCTGGAACATGACCATACAGTCCAGAAAACTCACAGAAACCCAGAAGGATAGCTGTTGTTGCAACCTGGAGTTCTACCAGTACCAATGATACTCATTCTTTTTGTAGTTCTTTCTTTCCTCATAACATTCATATCCACTTTCTTGGAAGACTACTGCCTCACAGTGAGACTGATTTTTTTTGTAAAGCATATTGTAGATCTCTTCAGACATGCTATCTGTAATTTCCCTTTCTGTGCTGATATACTAAAAGGATTTTCTAAACTTTACAGGTTTTCCTTTTCCTCTCTGCGCCTACCCCAGAAACAGCAGCCAGGGCGATTATTTACATTGCAAAAGGAAGAATCATTTGTTAAACTGCAAAGGCTAGCTGAATTTTTGAGGGCTGTGGTCACTGAATCCCAAAACCACATCCTCCGCAAGTATAGATCTAGAGTTCTTGCTGAGCCAAATGGAGTGACTACAGGAAAGGACTCCAGATAGTCATCTTTGACATGTAGTGGCCAAATGTAAGGAGGAAATGAGGCTCCCATAGTATTGATACAGAATTCCTCACTGATGTCTTGATAGGATAGTGATTGGAAATATCCTAACTGCTACATAAATTTGAAAGACCTTCTGTAGGATCACCCTGAAAATGCATTTTCTTTGTTATTATTTTATCATCCTGCCTAGGAGTGCAGTTTTGCAAACATATAGGATTAATGCGATTTCAATTCTGAAAATAATATAATAGTAGATAGTAGTATAATCCTGCAATGCCTTGAGTCAGTGGAAATTATGTAAAAATCTTTTCTCAGGACCCTGTGTTAACTACTATCAGTTTCTGCTCCTTTATCTCATTTTGCGTGTTCTGTCCAATCACTTTCCCCTGCTACGTGCTCCTATCAAGAGAGATTTAATTATGAAAAAAATCAATAAAATAAATTGGAGGCAAAATGTGAGGTATAGAAGCCATTAAAATGGTTAGAAAAGTTTATTCTACATCTGTCATTCAGCAATTGGTTTCCATATTGTTTGATTATATCTTTATGCCCAGTTTAGTTCTCTGATTAGGACCAATCAACATTAGCCTGTTTCTCAAGGCTAGATCAACTGTGGATTTGGGTTTCAGAGGGTTATTCAAGGCTATGGGTTGCTATTACCCATACTTCTCTGTCATATTCCAGCATACAAGACAGTGCAAGAAAGAGCTGGGCAAATAAGGGCTTCCTTGGTTTTTCCTCACTTCCAGTTCTCTATGACATTATTGATTGGATGCTTCATCTGGGACACTGTTAAGAGAGGCAAGACATCTGTCAACCTTTCTAGAAGGACTTCTTAAATTTCAAGTCATGTATTCATTTGTCATAAATATGGAATTTGTTTCCAAAAGGTATGAAATCCAAAAAAAATGAGTTACAGGTAGCAGCACATTGTTGGCTAGGAGTACAATATTATGTACAGATCAAAACAGTCAAAATATATTAAATCACTTCTGTACAGGGCTTGGAAAATTATATTATAGCAAAATATTGCATATCCTCGGCACATTTTTTTATTCCTGTAAAATTTGTTAAGATGGGTTTGGTACCTTTTGGAGATAAGCTCCACAATTTGACCTTTATGGAATTTCTATCACATTAAAACAATCATAGAACTAGAATATCAAAATTCACCTTTTATTTTATTTATTTATTTATTAACTTGATTTGTACCCCGCTAACATCTCCTGAAGGACTCAATGCGGCTTACAAAGGCCAAGGCCTCAATAAAAACAACAGCACAACAATACACATAGCATTATAAAGCAAATCAAAACATTAAGCAATAACAGTAAACAGTACAAACAATACACCATAACACAGTAAAACTAGGACCAGGCCGAATGTAATGGGTACAGATTAAAAAGTGCTGAGTGTGACAGGTGAAATGTAGGATTTTAGGGTAAGCGCAATGTGCAGACAATCTTAAATCTCTGATAAAGTGCTTCTGGGACATATTGCTGGAGATTCCTATTCTGGAAAGGCACACCGGAACAGCCAGGTCTTCAAACTCTTCCTAAAGACTGCCAGTGTAGGGGCTTGTCTGATGTCCTTGGGGAGGGTGTTCCAAAGTCGAGGGGCCACCACAGAAAAGGCCCTGTCCCTCGTCCCCACCAGACGCACCTGCAACGCAGGTGGGATTTTTAGTGTATTACTGAAGATTAACAAGTTCTTGTCACCTCCTCTGTCTTATAATATTGGTCATTTAAAATGGGTGTACTGGCTTAACACTATACATTTCATTTCCTATTTTACTACCTGAAGAGATACATGTCATACGATGGCATCACGTCATAGATTTTACTTCAGTAGACATTATTGGATGCGGGGAGTAGAAAACAATGCAGACTTCCCATTTTGGTTTTCTTGAAATGTGTAATTTCAGCTTCAACTTGTAGAGATTTTCTTAAAATTTTGGGTTTAAATTCTGTTCTAAGGCTTGACAGTATTTCTTAATTACTGCACTTGTGTTCAACAGTAATCTTATTTCAGGGGAACTGCACATTTGTATGAGCAATTCATTCCTTTGTGGTACCTCCCACTAGTACAAGCTGCTAAATAGACCAGAAATGGTTTCTTTAGTGGCCCAAGTGATTGAAATGCCCAGTATCATGTCATTATTATGTGCCTTTCCCCAGCCTTTCAAACAATAGGAGGGGAAGTAAAGTAGTAGCAGAAACTTGCAATGTCATAATGTCCTGTCCTGTTGGAGTGCGGGGTAGGAACTTCCTTTAGTAGTGGGCTACAAGTGGAGAAGTGAATTTAGTGTACTAAAAATTGAGGAATGGGGAGGCCATCTGATAAATCAGTTGCTTATAAACCTTAGAAGATGGACAATGCATATGCATCAAGTTAGAAAACGTATCTATATACATTTCAGTTATTGTCTGCTCTCATCTCCCATAATTTTGCCTCTTATAATTAATACCCAGCTCCATGGTGTATCCTACAGCTATGAGTATGAAATAGCTAGAGGAAAGTGCAGGATGAAATTCACTCTGCATGATGACTAAATATGTGTATTATTTCTTATAACACAGGAGGAGATTTGGCATCTGCTGATCCTATGGTCCTGGAACAGTATGTGGTGGTAGCAGATTACCAGAAACAAGAGAGCTCTGAGATAAGCTTGTGTGCAGGACAAGTGGTGGACATAATTGAGAAGAATGAATCTGGTAAGAAGTGCTTGGCTGGTAAACACAGACTAAGATAAAATAACTTGTAAGAAAGACCTCCTAGGTTCTTCATGACACTTGAAATCCAGTGTGCTTTATGGGAAGATGTGGGTTCAGGTTGGCACCTGTGTTTCTGTATATCCAGAAGATTTATACAAAGTTTCCTTAAAGTCTACAAGGTGTGTGCCATTACATTTGGCTTCCTGTTTCTACTGTATAACAACATCCTGAAGAACATGATCACGCCTACCTAAGGATCCTGCTATTTCTGCCTCATTAGCCAGGTCTTCACTGTTGGTTGAGATCATAGCTAAAATAGCTAATCCCTTGTTGCCTCTTCTACCTTCTGGAAAATGAAATTGTCTGTAAGGCAAGTGAAGTATTTGTTGGATCTGACAGAGTTTGATTTTTATTCTTGACAGAGTTTGATTTTTAGCAAACACCAGAATAGCTGAAATCTCCCATTACTACTTCTCTCCTTTCTGAATATGTGGTCATCTGTTCCAGGAAGGCATCATTCATCTGAGCTGGGGAGAGCCTTACACAATGACGTCATTATTGCTCCCCCCCCCCCCCAACCCCTAATTTTTATCAAGATGTTCTCAGCCTGGCTGCCAGGATTTCTGTTACGCATCTCTTCACAAATATATATAAGGTTGTTGTTTCTCCTTTCTTGTTTGTTCTGAAATAGGTAATCATGGGACTCAGTCCACCAAGTTTCAGTGATGTCTGTTATATCGTATTTGCTAGGCTAGGCTATGTCAGGATTTTGCCTTCATTTTGTTTATTTTCCATGCTGTCTGCTTTATAGTAGAGACATCTAAGGTAATGGGTCTCTCCCTCTAACTGTTTATTTAAGGTTTTTTTTCCCCTCTCACAGTTCTTGGTCAGACAAACTGCTTGCCCATGTACTTTGTGCTGCCTTCCGCCTTAGTATGCAGTTATAGAGATTTCCCATTAGACTAAATGAGGATGCCATTCACAGTGAACTTCCCATCTTCTTGCTTGGACAAATAATTTATTCACATTACTTAAACTACCATTTGAAAATTTAGGGCAAAGGTCATGATTTGCATCCTTCTGGATCCTATTATGTTCCTTCCCACTCTCACAAATATGTAAATATCTGTATGTTTGAGCATTTATCATCACTCAGTATTGCATCCAAAGAGGTGGGTTTATATCCATGAAAACTTGTGCAAAAATAAAAAATAGTTAATCTTAAAGTTGATGCCACATTCCTTCTTCTCCCCCCCCCCCCCGAAAGATAATTATGCTTTACTACTTCTTTGAAAATTCACCTTCCTAAATGCATTAAAGTGCACCTAAATGTAGTTCAATGCATTTAGAGAGAACTATGTCTAAAACAGAATGTATAAAGATAAAGCTTTAAACACATACACACATTTACTTCCTTATTTTAATAAAAAAAATAAGTAGACTGAAACTTTAGATTTGCATTTGAGCAATATGGGAATTTCCACTACATGTTTATGCTAGTCAACCAATCATTTTCTGCAGCAAAATGGAACAAATTAGATGTGACTTTATATAAAAATATACATTTTCCATCCACAAACCTTCCCTTTGTGAAGGAGTGAAACACTGCTATCCTAAACTATGATGAGCTACTTTTTAATGAACAATTTTAGCACTTTTTATTGTTCTCTTTTATATAAATTACCCATCTTGATTTGCTTTTATGCCACACAGAGATCAAAACACTTCATAGCTGAGCACTAAATAATTTCAGTTTTCCATTCAGATTATTTTTAATACGAATTCTGAAATCACATTAAAAGTGCATTATTAAATAGGTTTTGTTACAATCACAAAGAAGCCTGGGAAAAGACTAAAGAACTAAAATATATCTGTTAATATAAAAGCTAGTTCCCAGCATTCCACTGCCCTTGTTTTTGCTAAGAAAGATCCCACCAAGGCACAGCTACGAAAACTGGGGTTGATTTGATTTCTGGTGGGCACTTGTCTTGTTCTGTGAGGTATTATGAGATGCAGTCTGAATGGAGACTGAACCTGCTTCTTGCGCTGAACATTTAGATCTCCAGGGACAGCAGCGCATTAAACTAACTGTGGTGCTTTCCTTATATTTGTTATTCCTATGAGCAAATGGCTGCCATTCAATCTTATGTCGAAAAGTAGAACTGACACAATTGAATAAATCACTGTGGAAAACCCATTAAACACTGTGCAGCCTCCAAAGAGCTTTCCATCACTTGATCAGCACAATGATTTACTGAGGCTTTCCAACATGGGCTTGACATTACTTTGACACTAAGGGATTTAGAAGGATATTGCACTGAGGTGACCCGCGAGTGTCCCATAACCCCTTCCCAACACCTGAGTTTCCTTGCCTTGTTGTTTTACTTGGTGTCTAATTGATGCAACAGGTGATTTTGTAGGGGTTTTTTTAACCCCTGATAGAAGAAATTCTCTATGACTTCAGGTTCTATATTAGCATAATATAGGCTATATTAGTCTAATATAGATTGGATGAGGACATAGGCTGAAATTACCCCCATGTGACCCTGTTAGGTATTAAAACCATTTTTCTTTCAGTGGCACAGGAAACATTGGCCCTCTGGACCTGGACCTCTGGAAGTTGCCCACTTTTTGATTCCAGAATGAAAAAATGAGAAATTCTATTAGACCTGTTTTCAAGTGCCTGAAGTGTGACAATGAGTAGTGATTTGTTCTGCAACATTGTTTTCACATAATACCTTTAAAAGATCAGATTCATTGGAAACTGATGCATGGCTGTACAAAGCAACTTCAACTAACATTGCTTTCCTTTAAATTTAGGTTGGTGGTTTGTGAGCACATTGGATGAGCAAGGTTGGGTCCCAGCTACATGCCTAGAAGTCCAGGATGGAGTCCAGGATGAATTTTCAATGCAACCTGAAGAAGGTGAGAAAATATCTTGGGACACACCACTCCTCTAATTTGTTCCTAGGATTTTTTTTTCTTTGAACCTTTGGCCCAACTAATATGTTTGAAGCAGTATACAGGAAGAAAAATTGCATGCTGACTTGGAAACCAGAGAGCATTTTAATGTGAATCTGGGTGACAGTTCTTTTTTGTCTTTAGAAAATTCTAAGGATCTGAACATTTCCCAGTGAAATGTATTGTGCAGATATTCCTTCACAGATTTATCTGACTAGATTTTTTTTAAGATTTAAAAAGAAACAGTTGGAAAATGGAGGTTACAAACTGAAGAAAACATTGTCTAGGCCTCTCTCCCCTGCAGAGCTGTACACCTAAATGCCTTCTCAAAAAGCACTCAAAGTCTGAAGTACTCCAGACTTTGTAAAGAAATCTTAACACCTATGTGCTTCAGCGATGCTGTCACTTTAGTTAATTATTTTGTTAAGCTAGCCATTCAATCCTGATAACATAGATTGATAAGGAAGCAGAACATGTTGTATAGATTTGTCCATCCTTTTAAACAAGGTTGATACTTCAATATTTGAAGGGTTGTCTACTTACACCTTGTTTTGTCCCTCTCCTACTGCTGCAACATGCTTCTCCCCAGTCTCATGGAGATACTGGTCTCTTCCCAGACACATGGGCCGCCGCCGGACTCTTGGGGACTTGTACAACAGTGGATGGGCCCAAGGTGGACTATGTGGAGACTTTTTTTCTTGACCTTATTTTGTGCTTTAGTGTGCCTGCCTCTGTCTCTGCATGTGCTACCCATTGTAGTATTTGCATGCATTGTTGCATGCAATGTATATAAAATATTCACTGGGATCCCTTGAATTTTTTCCTTGTGTTCATTGCTGATCATAAATGCTAAACTTCTGTACACTTCTCTGGCCATTCTCATCCCTCTGTCATGGCCTCAATATTTACTGACTACATGTTTCAAGATTAGGGGTTTTGCTCTTCATGGCATGACCCTGCAGAATACATCTTTACATTTAAAAAATGGTGTGTTGAGTGTAAATTACATAATTACTCTGATTCTGGCAGACATGAAGCAGAAAATCAGTCTTGTCCTATTATGCTGTTGGAATAAGAAGATCTTTTCACTAGAAGGAATTATTTTTAGAATATAGGTGAATACCAGAAGAAAGTTCTCATCTGCTTTACTGAAATAATTATTTGGGGGGGGGGGGGTTGCTTGTATGTCTATGTCCTAAAAGAGCCCTAAGGCTGCAGACAAGGATGGAAAGGGCTAAATTTCCTTTCCATGACTCCTGCAAGCCCAAAATTTGCCTGTTTTCTTTGCCCTCCCACCCAACCTATGCAATATTATTCATTGTTCTAAATACTGTCACATGCAGTTTACCACATTCATTGTGTGACTGACGAGAGCATTGAATTTTTGTATTCTGTTTAGAACTAATTTCACAGTGGATTCAGAAGGGAAAGTAACACCAGACTAAAATTGCTGGGCACATTGGACTACTTGGAAGCTATTATACCTCTCTTATATTCCATTGAATTCTCATTGCATCCTGGTGCTATCATTTCATTTTAATGTGCTCAGATATTTATTGCTGCTGATGCTGTATTGATGTGTTTCTAGCTTATTAAATTTTGAAACAAAAAGAATTGTGGCTAAGTATGGTTCAGAGTCTATTGATTTGTGTTCAATAACTTGAACATATTTTTCACTCTTAAGACTGAAATTATTATTATTCAGGATTGCAGACCATATGAATCACAGCTGCTGCGTTAATGATGGCAGTGGTTTTGAAGCAGACTTTTTTCTGTCTGCTCTGTTGTAAAATTTATTTTATTACAAAAAAGAAAAATGAAACAAAATAATTGCTTTTTAATTGCATTGAGAGCAATACATAGGGGGCAATGGAACAGTGGCCTACCTCTGTTCTTGAAAGCTCAATAGTTGCACCTCTCTTTTGCCTTGGCCAAAAACACAAGTTCTTGAACTGTCAGAGAAAAAGTCTGAGAAATGGAACAGTGTTTATATAAACAAAGATGGAGATGAAATGTTAGTAGGTGCCTTAGGTTTTTAAAAGTAAACTGAAGATAAATCATAGCCACTAAAATGGGAAAGGAATGGCTCATTCAATGCAATTCAATTCAAGTCGGTTTTCAGGAAGCAGGAATTCTTTGTCCTGTTTCACCCTGAATGGTACTTTCCAAAGCAAAAAGAGCCCCCTACAATCTACTCTGCTCCATCCAGAAAACAAAAATTGTTCATAAAATTTTCAGATTCTATGCTCGGCTTATCTAATAATCAAAACATGGTATGTAAGGCACAAATGAATACAGGGTGTTGCTGGTAAAGTGTGTTGATGGGTCCTATCGGGCATCAGTTTGTTGGGTCTGCATATTAAAAAGGAGCCATCATTTGTTCCACAGTGGCAATGTGGAAGTTCTCTGTGTGTGATTTTCTTGTCAATACTCTTCTCCTATGACTGGCATAAGAGGAAGATTTGTTTTCATTAGAGAGAGATGCCATATAGAACAACATGTGTATGTAGCCAGGGTGTTAAATCATTTATATTTCCAATGTTGTAATGCTAAGTTACATATCAAGAAGCCTAAGATTAGAGAGGAATCGATTGATAGTCAAGTTGGAGGCAGAGCAAATGGATAGCAAACCTATTTTTATTGGAAATATGACTATAATGATGTGCTGTTGTGCAAGAAGAAATAACAGGACTGTGCAAGAAGAAAACAGGACAACTTGCTTTGGAATTCTACTGTTTACCAAACCTATCTGTCTTGTAAGATGGGTGGGAATTAGGGAGGCCTCCAGATGTGGTTGCATTCCAACAGCATCTGGAGGACCTTGAGATCCATCTCCCAGAAGATAGCTACTTATGTGAGTAGACAACTTCTATTAGCAGTGTAAGAAGTGAAGATAAGACTTAAGGGAGAACTAGTATTTCTTAATCACAAAAAGAAGCAGCTTCAGGGTCTCTGATGCTATATTGCTCTTGTGAGTAGACAACTGAAATTCTTATTTACTTTGTAAGTCTGCTGAAATATCTGCAGTGATGCCTAAGCTTCTTAGTGGTTGGCGTTAATAACAGTACTGGAGATGTTTGGACCATGTAGGATATGAAGCACAACATGCCATCCCCCCCTCCCCACGCACACACACAACCATGTGCAGCCCACCATATGTGTGTTGTGGTGCACAGGCTTCTACAAACTCCTTGTCTTGATAGTTGTCTAGTGATGGGGGAAAATGGATCATTGTTATGTCTCTGCCAGGGCCAAAAAAAGTATTAAGTCTGTGGAGGCAGACATTGGAAATTCTATAGCTCTGACTTATAAGACTTATAAGACTGTGGTAGACCTTTTCTGGCCTGGATGAGTAGAAGAACCCTCAATTGGTTGACTCTTTCATAGGGCCCAAACCTTTTGTGTCCTATGCTGTCCAATATACAATGCAAAATTAAGTCAAGTAGAAACAGTTTTCAAGCCAGGTCTATCTTTTAACAAACATAAACTTTTTTCTTGTATTTTGCTTTGAACAGAGGAGAAGTATATGGTAATTTACCCTTACACTGCTCGGGACCAAGATGAAATGAATTTGGAGAAAGGGGCTGTAGTGGAGGTCATGCAAAAGAACTTAGAAGGATGGTGGAAAATCAGGTACGTTTTCTATTGGAAGAATTAATGGGAGGCAAGGACTTTGGAGTATGACTACCTTTCCCTCTGTAATTTCAGTTGTGTACCAAAACCCAATCACTTTTTTTCTCATGCAAATATATTAGGAGATGGGTATGTTTCCCAAAGGAATGAATAGGAAGGAAGATGTCTGAGTTATTTACACAAGGTTATGGCTATATCTGGATGAAAAGGAATGAATTCTGTGCCATTCCATCCTGTTTTAAAGAGATAAACAATAGATAGGACAAGACTGTGTGGAAAAGTAGACACAGAGACAACTTGCTTTGGACATATAACTCTAAGTGCTTTGTTAAAATTGTTCAAAGCCATATTAACCAACAATGCAGTGCATGAGTAGAAATATATATATATATTAAAAAGAAGCAGTTTCCCCTGGAAAATTTCTTGGGAAAGGCACATTTTTAGGTAGTGATGATATTTCAAGGATTTTTGAAGCATGTTAAGTAAATGTTTCCCAAACCAATAGGGGAAAAATAATTCCACCGAGACTGTGTAATATCTCAGAAAATGAACCTCATTATTAATGTGTAAGCTTCAAGGATATTCATAGCTCAAGCCTGGCCTAATACTCAAATACCTGCAACCACACTGTGGGTAAATACCTGCTTTGACTAATTGCACAAAGGTAGCAAATGTTGTGTGCAAGGCATGGAATTCAGTAAGAATCTATAGGCTCAAAGATATGATTTTGCATAAATAACTTAAATGTCATTTGACTTTTTGATGAAACATATCCTTGGACTTGGGAAATGGATGAGGAAAGAGAATGAAAGATTTCTCAGCTTCAGCAATATAACCCCCTCCATACACAAATCAAATCAAATCAAAATATTTATTTCGGTCATTGACCAGCACAGGAAGTAGTGTCACATTTCCAGACAAACCTGGCATGTTTGGTACATTAAAAATATAAATATAACTACTAAAAACACAATATGGGTGAGGGAGCAGAAGGGGAAACAGGGTAAAAACATACAATGCCCAGATCCATCACCAAATTGTAGATTCAGGGAATAAGATTACTGGACACACAGTTGACTTTTGGAACTAGTCATTCCCTGGCGGATTTTGTATGCTGCTGCACAGAACTTTGCGACATTGTAGGTTGTAGCTGAATTAGTATCTGCAAGTAGCAGGGAGGTATAAAATTGTCCTGAATGGCCTGGGTGCTTGTCTATCAGAGGTAAGATAAGCCTGGCACGGATATCCCTGTAGAACGGGCACTGAAGGAGCACATGTTCTATTGTTTCTACATGACCCGAGTCACAGGGGCAGAGTCTCTCTGGGAAAGGGATCTTCTGGTAGCGGCCTTCGAGTACAGCTGATGGGAGAGCGTGGCATCGAGCCAGGGTGAAAGCCCTTCGATGAATAGGAACCTCTAAGTTTGTTAAATATGCCATAGGGGAGGCAAGATATCTGCTGTCTTCATTGATAAGGAAGGTTGGAACCGAGGCCAGATCTAGTTGGCGCTCTGTGTCTGTGATACGTTGTTTAATAAGTGCTTTGGCTTGATTGTAATCCATAGCTAATAGTAGACCTGGAGAAAATCCCAACGAGGAGATTTTGGATGCTACCGCCTGCTTCCATGTGGATTGGAAGTCATCCTCCATGGTTAGTGGGGCAAGGCCAAGGGGTGCACGGGACAGTCTGAGCCAGAGGTTAAGTATGGCCACCCACACCCTGGCCTCCACTCTCATAAAACCCGTCTCTAGTCGCAGGGTGGCATTAGAAACGCATTTAGGTACCTGCAAGGCCGATCTCAGAAACTTGGACTGAACCACCTCTAATGGGGCAAAACTGGGGAAGGGGCCCAGCTGAGCCCCATACAAGAGTTGGGCTAATGACTTGGCTTCAAACAGCTTGAGCGCTGCCGGTGTGAAGTGGCCCCCTCTTGTCCTAAGATATTTAAGAATGGCAATTGAGCTCCCCTGCGCGGTGTTGGATACTTGATCCCCATGAGCTCTTCTGCTACCATTAGATTGGAAAACTACACCTAGATATTTGAAGGATGTAACTTGTTCAATTTTATGACCATCTATGCTCCAAGAGTAAGTCCTGGGCCTATTAGCAAAAGCCATGATTTTGGTTTTATTGTAATTGAGTTGGAGCTGATCTGTGTTGCAATGTTGTATTAATGCTCTCAAAGCTCTTTTGAGCCCAATGGGTGTTCTAGAGAGTACAGCAGCATCATCTGCATAAAGCAGGATGGAGATGTGTCTTCCCGCCAGCTTTGGGGGGTGGAAGTCCATGTTTTGAAGCTGGTCCACTATGGAGTTTATATAGAAGTTGAACAGCAAAGGGGCCAGGATGCAGCCTTGCTTGACACCCTTGCATGTTTCAACAGCCTCAGTGAGGTGGCCCTGTGGGTTGCATCTTACTTTGAGTGTGGTCTTTTCGTGAAGTTGGCGTATTAGATATAGTAGACGGCGATCAATTGTGGAACTCTCCAGTTTTTCCCAAAGTTTAACTCGCGAGATGGAATCAAATGCTGCTTTAAAGTCAATAAAAGCAGCATATAGTGAGGTTATGTTTTGGGAGGAATATTTTTCCACAAGGTGTTGCAGCACTAGGCACTGATCTATGGTGGATCGACCTTCCCTGAATCCAGCTTGCTCCTCAGCTAATATGCTTTCTTGTTCCAACCAATCTTGGAGTTTCCATTGTAGATGTCTAGCATATAGCTTGCTGATAGTGTTAAGGAGGCTGATTGGTCGATAGTTCGCAGGATCATCCTTTTTCCCTTTCTTTTTATAGATGGGAACAATGATTGCAAGCCCCCAATCCTTGGGGATTTGGCCATGGTTGTCAATACATGTAAAAAGTGAGGCTAGGATGGGGGTCCAGAAATCCAGGTTGTTCTTGATGGCCTCTGCTGGGATAAGATCTTCTCCTGGGGCCTTGCCTGATGGTAGTTGGGCAACCAGGTTCTTAATTTCTGTAGCTGATACAGGTGGCCATGGTGGAAGGTTCTCTGTATCGAGGTTGGGGCAGTCCCTTCCAGTAGAGGTGTCCATATAGAGATCCTGGAAATATGCCTCCCAAATCCCCGGAGGGATGTGGGAATCCACAATAGGTTGATCAGATCTTTGGGCATTTGATGTAATGTGCCAGAAAGTGGCTGAGTCTTTCTCTTTGACAGCTTTAATAAGCTGAGCCCAGTTGTTTTTCATAGCTTCCTTTTTCTTATATGCGAGCATCTGCTTGTAATGCCTCTTTTGTTGAAGGAGGTCTTGCGCTGCTGATGGTGAGGTATTGGATATGAAGGCCTGATAAATGGCAACAAGAGCATTTTTAGCATTGACGCAATCTTTATCAAACCAGGTCTTGGAGTATTGCTGTTGCTGCTTCCTTGATGTAAAATTGTTAAACCTTAGGTGCTTCTGTATTTCTTGAGTGATGTTCATATAGTTGTCAAGTAGTATGTTGGGGGATGTTGATGATGTCAAGGCAGTCTGGAGCCCCATTAGTCGATCAGAGGCCAGGAGCTCAGATATTCTTTGGTTCAGACAGGGAGTCCATTTGGCCCTGACATGGGTTCCTCCTGGAGGTGGTAGGGAGGGTTGAAAACATTCCACTGTGTGGGTATTTTGGGTGAAAGAATTTAGGTGCAGCAGGACAGGAAAATGATCACTGTCAAACTTGGGCTTAACTTCCAAGGTTTTGGCATATGGAAGAAGGTCCCTTGAGATGGCTATATAGTCAATGGCGCTCATTTTAGAGCCAGAAAGATATGTAAATTCTGCTGGGTGATCACCTTCCAGAGCACCATTTAAGATGTGGAGATTCAATCGTGATGTTGATTGAGCCAAACACAACCCTGCAAAGTTTGTTTTTTGATCTTTGGAACGACGAGTTAGAAGTGGAACCTCATATTCAGTGGCAGGAGGAAGGCCTTTGTAACATTTAAAGAGTGTGGCATCATCAGGTCCCATTCTTGCATTGAGATCCCCTCCCATAATTACAGAGGCATTTGGGTTCTGCACCATGAGGTCTGCAGCATAATTTTCCAATTCTGACCATAAAGCTCTAGTTTGGGCTTTCTTCCTCGTTGGAGGCAAATAGACATTTATTATCATCAAGGTATGATACTTAAGTTGAATTAGCACTGCCATTGCAGTTGTTTTTAATGAGGGAAGGGGCCTTGTTATGGCACGTAAAGTGGTAGAGACTAAAATCCCTAATCCACCTTTTGCTCTTCCATGTGTAGCTCCTGGCTCTGCCCCTACACAATACGAGTGGAATCCATTAGCTATCAGATCACCTACTGCCCAAGATTCCTGGATCAGAATAATATCATAGTGGGAGAGAAAGTCTATAAAACAATGGTCTCTAATGGATGCGAGCCACCCAGCCACATTCCAAGTCAATAGGCTGACCCCGTGCTGGCCCTGTAGCTGTCATAGTCCCAAGGGATCTATGGCCTGGTCACGATCCTTCTGTATCAGGTCCGGGTCATTGTTTGGTGAGAAAGAAACTTGGCCTTCTGGTGAAGGGGCTGGATGGACCAATGCCACATGAGTAATGAAATGTGGGTCATTGGCGAGTAGGGAGCCAAACTCATTTGCTGTCTGCAAGCCCTCACCTATGTATGACCTGTGGAGAGGCAAGCTCCATCTGGGGTTGAGGAGAGTCCATAGTGTGTGGAATATTTAAAGCAGCACCTGCAGGAGTATCTTTGATCTGCTTTTCTGTTACTTGAGTCATTACTGGAATCACAGATGGATCTCTGTCATTGTTGTTTTCTTTTGTAACGGTCTTAGAGGGGGGGCTTGGCTTGGGAGGAGCCGTGGAAGAGTCTGTATTAGGGTCTGCTTTAAGTTCCAAATCAATGTAAGCAACTGCTGTCTTGAAGCTGTGTTAACTGTGTTAGGTTTCTTTCTTGTACCCGTGTATCCAATGTACTTCGAGGAATGAGATGATTGACTGTCAGATCCTTAAATACCCTACTGATAGTTATGCCATGCCTGTTCCATAAGATGTCCTTCATTTGAGCTAGGCGGTCTGACATCTCAAGGGAGTTGAAGGTAAGGAGGATTCGTTTTACACCATTCTGTGTTGGAAGAAAATGGTGATCCTTTAAGTCAATAAGTTTGGGCTGGGTTCTGAGCAAGTAAGCCAGTGATTTTACAATTTGTTGTTTATGGCTCCAGCCCAAAGCATTTTGATTGAGCTGCAGAACTATCTGGGTTTTTTGCAGAGTGAGGCATGCTTTAGTTTCAACTGTTGGTTTATTACTGTGATTAACAGCAGCTGTGGTCAGAGGAGCGTCCTCCGCATGTGAGCACCTGGGCGTCTCTGCAGGCTTGACTCCCTGAAAACATTGTGGGGGATGCAAGTCAAGTAGCCTTTGAATCTGTTGTGAGATTTCACCTAGTCTGTTCAAAATCAGCATCATTGATTCCACTGACAGCAAACATATCTCCCGATATTTCTGCATATCATGGTCTAGGGAGGGGCTGCACCCCGGAGAGTTCAAATGACCATTATCTCCATTACCCTCTGGCATTTGCATGGGCTTGTCTCCTGGTCAGAGAGGGGGGAACCCACATTAAGTGAGTTTATCGAAGGTGTTATCGGTGCTCCGCTACTCACAGTTTGTGATGTTGTTGCTATATCCGGAGAGTTCGGAAGGTAAGCATCCATTCTCATCTGTTTCCGTGCTTTTGGTGATTTATGGGACCCTGTTCCATTGCTGGGGCTGGTCCGGGACCTTTTCTTACCCTTGAATGTCATTTTGGGTTATAAATCCTGGGGGAGTTGTGGAAAAACAGCTATTTCCAGGAGCAAATTCCGGAGCTTATCTTAGGAGCTGCTCGTTCGTCGCCATCTTCTCTAGTCATCCCATACACAAATATTAAAATAAAATTAATGCTTTAAAAAGAAAAAAAAGAGATGCTACCATTGAAGATTGCTAACATTTCCAGAAGCATTGGTGGCACAACTTGATGAATAGTTCAGGGTAGTGTCCCACATCCTGCTCAATTTATGGCTTAAACCACATCCTGCATCAGTTGCCTCCACAGACCAATTGCATAATATAGCAAATTTATTTCTGCTTACTGCTAAAATGTTTTATTTTATCGTTGATTCTATGAAAAAAGAAAACACAGCAATGTCATAATTGTTTTATTTGAAAGAGGTTGAAAGCCTTGAGCTTCTAGTGGAAAATGTTGGAATTGTGCATTAGGGGTGCATCTATATTGTGGAATTAATACAGTGTGACACCACTTTAACTGCCATATCTCAATGCAATAGAAGAGTAGTGAGATACCAACATCCTTTGACAGAGGAGACCTTGCAAAATTACATATTCCATTAAAGTGGTGTCAAACTGCATTAATTCTACAGTGTAGAGGCACACTAAGTTGTCTATAGCATGCCTCTCCCTTGAGCTTTTCCTGCCCCACCATATGTGCTTTGGGAGTTTTTATGGACTGAGAAAGGCAGGCTGAGAAAGGTGGGATAGAAATATAAAGAAAGAAAGAAAGAAAGAAAGAAAGAATATTGTTTTTCTTTTTATTATTTTATGATAGAGCATTTGAAACCTATTTCCAGCATATACTCTCTTTTCTTTGCCTTGTAAAGGCCAACCATGTTTCAGTTCTGTCCTTTTGTAAGAGTGAGGGGAACACCAAACACTCCACATTGTACAGCCAACAATGCAAAATTTGGATGCTGGATTGATCATCAATGAATAGAGAACAAATTGAAAGGCATAAATCTCATAATGCCACAAGAGGTAGTGATGACCACCTACTTGGATGACTTTATGAAGTAATTGGACAATTTCAGGGAAGATAAGGCTATCATTGACTGTGAATCATGTTGGCTGTGCATTGTCTCCAGTAAGAGATGTAGTCTTTTTCTACATAAAGCAATGCAGCTGAGAACTGCATATTTGTATGCGTTTGGGGTAAACTGTAGGGGTGATGGAGATATCTGAACTGGATTGGGATTGTGTAATAGCTGGTCTATTTTAACCTTTGTTTTAACCTTCGTCCTTAACTTCTTTGGTATAAAGTTTCACCGTGGCACTTTGATGATGATGATGATGATGATGATGATGATGATGATGATGATTTTTTTAATTATCTTTAACTTTAACTTAATCAAGTTTTAATTGTGTTTTAATGTATGTTCACTATTACAGGAGTTTTAAGACAGTGATTAGTGTCTATTTGCTTGTTTTTGTCATTTACTGTTGATATGGTTAGTGGACTAATCAATAAAATAAATTTAAAAAGATGTAGTCTTGATCTGATTGAGATCTTACTATAGGAATGTGAGTGGCTACTGTGGGAAACAGAAAGTTGCATCAGTTAGGTCTTTGGACTTATCCTGCATGAGTCTGCATATGCTCTTAATCACCAACCACAACATTTGGTTTAGATCCTGATTTAGGAACTCTGAAGTACGTTCCTTATTTTTAGTAAATGTAAAAAGACTGAGACCATTGGTAAGAGGGAGTCATACACCTAATCTCTGTAAGCCTCCCTATAATGCCACCTTTGGTTTCAGGTATTACAAGCATGCAGGTGTTTAAAACTTTAAGAAGAAAAATGTATTTGTGTTAGACATCTGTGTGCTGTAGTAAAAGCAATTTCTTTTTTAAAAATGACAATTCCTGCCATATGTAGGATACAATAGACTTAGTGAACTCAATATTATTCCGCTATATAAATTCTAAAGATTCTGTTTTTTCCCACTCCAGAATAAAAAGTAGTTCAGAATTTTTGTGATTTGTTTAAGCAAAAAAATAAATTGCACAAAAAACACATGAATGGAAAAGATGCCCCCGCATACACACACATATCTATACCTGCTGGATTTTTTTTTAAGGAAAAACATTTCTGAGACAAATGAGCCACATCTGGAGGTCATTTAGAATTTTTTTTTTGCTTCGATCTGCAGGAACAGTTGCTAAGTGGCTCTTTCTCTGGGGCCTGTTACTGTACAACATTTCCTTTCATATAGAAGAATGACCCAGTTAATCAGCAAGAGGTCTTTTGATTGAATCAGCTAGGGATCTCTTGATTTTAACTCTATGGTTAGGCTGTTCTTAGGGCCCTTCCACACAGCCATATAACCCAGAATATCAAAGCAGAAAATCCCACAATATCTGCTTTGAACTGTGTTATCGAAGTCCACACTGCCATATATTCCAGTTCAAAGCAGATAATGTGGGATTTTATTCAGCTGAGTGGAAGGGGCCTTAGAAGTAGGCATATCAAGTATGCAGGAAACATTGCCCTATGGTAGACCTCAGTCTCTAATCTATAGCGGATGTATTTAGTGGATGTGGTTACTGGGTCACTGCAGAGGCTAAATCTTAGAAAATGCTGGGTGGCTTGTTTGGATTTTGTACGAATGTTTTTATAAGGTAGGGATGATTGAGAAGTTTTTGTATAAAAAAGAAAGCAACTGCAGTTTATTCTGCTATCCAGGAAATAATTTTAAATGTTCAGGACCCTCTTTTGCTTGTTAAAAAGATGTATTTATCTCTTTATATGAAGTATTCCCATTTTCTTTCCTCTGATGTTTGTGAAATTCCTCTCCTCTTCACATTTTGTTGTGTGACATGAAGAGAAGTTTTCTTGGCTTTGGATTCTTGCAGCATAGACATGTATACCTCAGATGTAGTCTGCAAGTACTCATAATCTACTAAGACATGTATCTGATAAATACATATTGTGTGATTCTGCCCGAATTTGTCTGTTTTGAGACACATCAGCAATAAGTTCTGCCTTGGCTGCTTCAAAATTACCAAGCAAAAGGTGCATAACATTTTCTGAGAATCTTCTTCCTCATTGCCTGTAATCCACCCATGAACGAGCACATCTTGGATTCATTTCGTAGTGCATATATGGCAGAGATATACAACATCTTGTGGCTTATGATTGCGTACCACTCTTGCAGATTTGATGGAATATGGGAAACTGCTGCCTAGTCAGTTGACCAGTCAAAACCAGTCAGTTAACCAGTCAAAATACTGGTTAATCAATGATAATAATAATAGTTACCTACACCTCCTCATAAACATTCATGTTTGTGAAAAATTGGATTTTATTTATTCTCAGTAGCTTGAGAAATCACCTGTAGAAATTCAAAAGGCTGAAATGAGTGATTGTTTTGTTCGGTCTGAGTCTTGTGCTAAATCTGTAACCTTATTAATGCACTGCTTTAAGTTAGCCTTGGCTGTTCCTAGAGATATGTGATCACAACAAGAACAATGCAAGACTTCAAATGGTTTGATTTATAACATATCTTGACTTCTTTCAGGTATCAAGGTCAGGAGGGCTGGGCCCCAGCATCATACCTGAAAAAGGGGAGTGGGGACATGTTTCCACCAAAACTGGGATCTGCTTCTGCTCACTCATATGCACTGGATTTGGATGGAGTTTCTCGGCAGCAGAATTCAGGTGGCCGGGACAAGGATGGGCCAAACAACCAAAGAGATGGAAGGTTTGATGGCCGCCCATTGCCAAATGTGGACTTTAGGAGAAGTAAGTTGGGGGCAGTGAACAAGGTGTTGGCTATTTGTAGGCAAAACTAGTTGGCCAGTATGCAGGAAAACCTATTGAGTAGCAAAACATTGTGGTCTCTCTAGTTAATAGTTGGGTGAATATGACCTAGGTATGTCAGAATTTAGAGTTTCCCAAATGCTGTCAGTGTACCTGACTGTCAGATATTAGTATTGCTTGCTTAATCTATACCTTGCCCTGCTGATTTTTCTGTCCAGTGGAGGGCTAGATAGAATAGTAGACAAGAGTTCCTCTTCTTTGTAAAAGAAGTACAGCATGGTTTATCATAAACCTATTCTTTCACGCTAACATCTATGCTACTTGAATAAAAACATTTCTGAACTATGGTGGCTGATTTCTGGAAAACAGACCTTTGACCCTGGGGTTCCAGATCACCCAAAACAACATGATGTTTATATGGAGACACTATCTGTTGTTACTGACACGTAAATAGACCTGCCACCTGCATCTCTTCTTCTCCTATGCTGCTTAATAGAATTCTTTTATCCATTAGCATTTGACCAAATATTTTGAAGTTGTCCAATATTTCCAGCTATTAAATAGAATTGGAAATGAATATATGTTACCTTGGGGAGGGGGGAAGTTTAGAGGTTTCAACACAGAGAAACAGTCATGAAGCACATTTTGAAATACAATGAAATATTTTCTTGACAGAGTCACCAAAGATGAGGCAGAGACCTCCTCCTCGTCGAGATCTCACAATAGTAAGTACTATATCCAACTTTGTACAATTGGTCAGTGTTGGTGCATATCTAGCCTTATTGTTTTAAATAAACTGAATATATCTAGCAGTGGAAATTGATACTGACCTTCCTACATTTTGCATTTTAGTACAGATTCTCGTGACCTTAGTCCAATTGCTAAGACCAACTAGAATAGATCTACTATATCAGTGGACCTTTCATAGGTGTTGGCTTGCCAAGTCCCCATTGATTCAGTGGGTGTACTCTATATGGCCCTTAGAATTAAATTTTGTATATCTGTGCAGAATATACTTCTACCGTGTTGCTCAGTGGGAATCAGGCATGTTTAATGATCTACTGTTCCCTTTTTAAAATATACATAAATAATGCTCAAGAAAGGAATTGCCCACTACACCTATGTTCTTAATGTTCATAAAACAGGAAAAGGCACTGTGTTTATGGTGTCCTGGCATGACATATGTCAAGCCTTTTGTAAACTGGTATCTCTACCAATGTTCGTAGTAGAGCCGGAAAGGAATCATCTAGTTAGTACAACACCCTGCAGGACTCCATAGCTGAAAGCATCCCTATTGCTGGACTTTCTGTCCCTTTGTGGCATCCCCTGAAAAATGCCAGCTGTCTATGTGCATAGCAGCTATGAAATAATTGGATCCTGTTGAAGTCACTTGGCAAGTATTGCCTTCCTTCTAGGTGCTGAGGGTGGTGGGACTAGTATGCTTTGTTTTCCTTAGATTAGCTAAGACTGACGTGTGTCTGCATTTTTCTGCAAAAGCCACGTGGCCTCAACTTGCCTAAACCTCCTGTGCCTCCACAAGTGGAAGAGGAATATTACACCATTGCTGACTTCCAAACCACTATCCCTGATGGTATCAGCTTCCAAGCAGGACTGAAAGTGGAGGTAAGACAGCTTTATCTTGCCTTTACCATTTAGGATTTTCCAAATGGTTCACCCATTACAGCTTGTTGTGTAAAAGAAGTCCTCTTTTTCTACAAAGATGGGCAGTGTAATAAAAAAAAACAAAAGCATAATTCTGACAGTATGTATGCTACAACCTTAGTGTTTGTAGTCATGCTTTGATAAAACATCTTCATGCATGGAAATTGTTTCCAAATTTGTTAAACGATCTTGAGGGAAGAGAAAACCACTTCTCTCAGCTGATGCTGGACAGGAATGATAACTATACTTCTGTCTACGAAGGTTGAATGAAAAGTAATGCCTCCACCTTCGTAACTCCTCAACAGATGGCAGTACTGGTATGTGGCAGGTACTGGCTTGTTCAGTAGACTCTCCTCTACAGTTCCATTTTGGAAGGAAGCTTTAGCATTGAATGGTTGTGTTGTTAAAGTGCGAAATATGGAACCCTGCGCAGTCGGTCAATGCGACTTAAGCAACATGCAGTCATTGAATTCTTGACAGCAGAAGGTGTCATACCAAAGAAGATTCATCAGAGAATGCAAGCTGTTCATGGTGATTGTGTTGATGTGAGTACTGTTCATCACTGGGCGAGTAAGTTTAAACATGTTGAGGTGGGAACATCTGACTTGTGTGACAAACAAAGAGTTGGACGTCCTGTGACAGCAACCACCAAGTTTCACAAGCAAAAGGTTGACAGATTTATTCAGGATGATTGTCGTATCACTCGGAGAGAAATTTCAAACATAATCGGCATTTCACAAGAATGTGTGGGTCACATTATTGCTTTACTTGGCTATCGGGAGATCTGTGCACGATGGGTTGCCGAAACAGTGTCGACGTCTTCCGTGACGGCTTCAGAAAACTTGTTCACCGTTGGCAGAAATGTATCCAATTGTCTGGTGATTGTGTGGAAAATCGAATAGTGGTAGTTAAAGAACACATTCTGAGGATTATTTCTGCATTTGATGCATTAAAATATCCCCATCCAAACCCAAGTAACGAAGGTGGAGGCATTACTTTTCATTAAACCCTCGTAAATCTAGTTATGTCGTGAAGAATATCACTTTTGTCCAGTGTTAGAGATCATCTACTATTTTTGTCTGACTGACTTCAATCTGACTTTTCTTTGGTGCAAAAGGATCTTGTAGCACCCTTGAGACTGAGAGTAACGTTGCTGGCATAAACTTTCATAGACTTAGGTACATCATATGCAAATAGAATTAAGCCTATGAAAGCTTAAGCTACTAACCTTTCTCTCATTTAATCTAAAAGGTACTACAAGATACTTTTGCATACTGATCCAGACTAAGACAGGCTGTTCCTTTGAATTCTACTATTTTACTCAGTACATAGGGTACGAGACTGATTATGACCCAAACATGACGAGCGGATTTTTAGTTTAATTAGTTGTGTTAGTAAGATGTGTGTTATGGTCTTGATTTATTGTAACTGTTGTCTTTATGTTCTATGTTCTGTACACCGCCACGAGTCGCCTTCGGGCTGAGAGTGGCGGTTAACAAGTGCAAATAATAAATAATAAATAAATAATAAATACTGCCATGACAGGATCTTTTCTAGATCCACTTCTACTATGGTCTCATTATAAGGGCAGTTTCCTTTAATTTTATTATACTATTTCATTATTACTCTGATAGTTGTGACCAACTGGTAGACAACTCATGCACTGAAAATACTATATGTGAGGGGAAGTCATAGGGAGGAGGGAGCAAGCTTATTTTCTGCTGCTCTGGAGACTAGGATGTGGAACAATGGCTTCAAACTACAGGAAAGGAGATTCCACCTGAACATGAGCAAGAGCTTCCTAACGACGAGAGCTGTTCAGCAGTGGAACTCTCTGCTCCGGAGTGAGGTGGAGGCTCCTTCTTTGGAGGCTTTTAAACAGAGGCTGATGGCCATCTGTCAGGGGTGCTCTGAATGTGATTTTCCTGCTTCTTGGCAAGGGGTTGGACTAGATAGCCCACAAGGTCTCTTCTAACTCTATGATTCTATGGTTGCAATGTGTGGAGTGTGTGGGACTTCCCTTGAAGATGATGGCCAGACTACAGCAAAGTCAAAATGCAGCAGCAAATTTGATGGCCATAATAACTCGCAAAAACCGTATAATGATAAAGGAATTTTAAAGGAATTTCACTGAGTGCCAATATGTGTCTGGTGTGTATCCATAATACTCTAAATCCCTAAAACTCTTGGGATTCGAGTATTTGAAAGTATAGCTCTTCCTGTGTATGCTTGCCAGGACTGAAGTCTGCCAGAGGGAACCTCTTCTATCCCGTGGCAGTAGTGTTCTGTGGGAGGACATGGGATAGGCCAATATGGCCTTTTCCAATGTTAAGAAGAACATGTATCTTTTCGTTAAACCTTTTGGAACCGGATTGTTTCACCCAAATCTGAATATATATAGTTTTAAAATAGGCCTAACTATGCTAGAGACATCAGACGCTGTCTGATCTTGTAAACTAAGCAGTGTCAGCCTTGAAAAGTACTTGGATGGGAGATAGCTAACAAATGCTAGCCATATTTCAGGGGAAGGAACTGGCAAAGCCAGCTCTTAGTGTTCTTTGCATAAGAATACCCCATGCAGTTCATGAGGTTACCATAAGTCAACTGGTGACTTGAAGGCAGATATACACATGTAGTTTTAAACTGTTATAACTCTTCAAATTGATCAGTTGTTTCTATGCTTTTATGTAGTTATGGAGCCCCCGGTGGCGCAGAGGGTTAAACCCCTGTGTGGGCAGGACTGAAGACCAACAGGTCGCAGGTTCGAATCCGGGGAGAGGCGGATGAGCTCCCTCTATCAGCTCCAGCTCCTCATGCGGGGACATGAGAGAGGCCTCCCACAAGGATGATAAAACATCAAATCATCCGGGCATCCCCTGGGCAACGTCCTTGCAGACGGCCAATTCTCTCACACCAGAAGCGACTTGCAGTTTCTCAGGTTGCTCCTGACACGACAAAAAAAATGTAGTTACATTTTTATTCTACATTTTAAATTGTTTAAACTGATGGAAATTGTAAACTACACCTAAATCTTCAGATATACATCAGGATATAAATGTTGTAATACATTGCTCTTGAAAGATCTATGCAGCCATCTCCTGCTTAAATCACTCTTTCCCTATCTCTCACCACATCATTCCACTGGCACCTTCTTCCTCTCACTTTTTCAGTCAGTCATCTCGAAGTCTCTCAAGTCACATCTGACATGATAAAAAGCCAGTAATCATCCATACGCAAATATATTTTCTACCAGACAGTTCACTCAATCTTCATACTTACTTTACTTAAATTATTACACTGTGATGCAAAGGCATAAGCCATCTTGCAATGTATGTAGTACCACAGTCTCCTATTAGTGTTTCATTTGGTCAAAGTTGTTCAAGATAGGCCCGTGTTAGTTCTCCCACACACACACCCTGAAAGTAGATGTTGTCTTCAGTGAGATTTCCCCTATGTTAATATATTAATTTAAATCTAAAATTGTGGGTTTTGCTGAGTCCTTGTTCTGCTTTGAAAAGACTGGAATCCTGCCAGTATCTTCATAGACATCTCAATAATGACATCTAGTGGCCATGCTCTTCTTGTTTTTATGGCTAATCAAATTTTTGTTCTGGGCCCAGCTTATGTGCAGGTGGAGACTGACTTAGAAAGTTGCCCATCTGAACATTTATGTATGCATAGGCACTCCAGCACAAGATAACACTGCTCATAGTAGCAGAAATCACCTGCAAATGTTTGATTATGGTTTACAAAACTGATATCTGAGCCATTTGGTACATTTCTTAGAGGCAATACTAGATTGGCTGCTAAATGTTCATTTAACATGGACTTGTGACTAACCATAGCTCCTGATCACCATAATTGTATAACAGATATTTGCATTACTTCTGGTTTTTTTATATATTACGGGAAGTGCACATATGACATGAGAGCTAGCACATTGTAGCTGTTTGAGCATTTGATTATGGCTCTGTAGACGAGTGTTTAAATTCAGAACCCTTCATTCTCTCACATCATGGTATTGCAGAGCAAGAAATTACACTTTAAATGGAGGTAACTCCTCCAGTTTTGTATCCTTCATAACTGACATCATGATGTCTTGATCAGGTGACACTGAACTATTCAGTTCCTGCTAGATTCAGGTTCAAAAGGTATGCCAAAGTAAAACTAAGCCTTGGAGAGTACCGATCACAACTTTGTTGATGCCACCAGGTTGGAAAACAGACGCAGAAACAGAATTAGGCCAAGAAAATGATCTTCCATCTAATCAGCCAAATGCTGACACAACCTTAGAGCAAGAGGTCGCCAGATTTGCTTCTTACTAGAACCAAAATTTCTGTAATAACCCTAACTGAATTTCCTTTAACCTTTAAGATAAAGTCCTCTTTACAAATTCAAACAAAATACAGTAAAATTGTGAAGCAATCAGATGTGTGCTTCAAAACAAGCTATTATATGCACATGTGATTATATTGCAGCACATCTATATGGATAGATGAGACTAATTACTGAAAATTCCATGCCAATTTACAACAAACACAACTCGCTACATTAAGTCAACACCCCACTCCACCCCCACTGGTGCATTTGCTACACAAACTAAAAAACATTTTATTTTTTCTGGGAACAGAACATGAAAAAATAATTCACATTGTACAGTCAGTGTTGTGTGCTCTGGAGGCCTCTCCATGGGGGGTTCACAATCCCTCCTCCCAGGAAGTTGCTTACCTGTGGTTGATAGTGTTGTGTGAGTTAAAAGCTTAATGTTGTCTTATAATTATGACTGTTCTAAGGACCAGTGTTTCTGTCTCCCTCTCCAGGTGATTGAGAAGAATATGAGTGGCTGGTGGTATATTCAGATTGAAGAGAAGGAAGGCTGGGCACCAGCTACTTTTATTGATAAATACAAGAAAACAAGTAATGCATCTAGACCAAATTTCTTGGCCCCACTACCAAGTGAAATGGCACAGCTGCGGCTTGGCAATGATCTTGCAGAGAACAGCCCCAATGGAGAACAACTTGGGCCATCCAGGCCTCTGCCTGAAGCACCACCTAATGGTATAGACTGTGGAGCAAAATGGAAAGGGAATGAAGTTTTCAAGGGTGCTGTTCCTGAAAGCAGTGATGCTTCTCTGTGTGTTGGCTATGAGGAGATCTGTGATCGGGATACAGAGGAAAAACCAAGCCTCCCTCCTAGGAAGGAGTCTATAATTAAGTCTGAAGAAGACTTAATGGAAAGGCAGCGGTTGGAGCAAAGGCCACCTCCTAAGCCTCCTGTCATGGGTTTGCCCATGATTCCCCCAAAGCAGAGCATCCCTCCAAGGGACAAGAAACCAGAGCTCAAAACAGAAAAGGGGAAATTGTTCCAATTGAAAAATGAAATGGGATTAGAGTGTGGACACAAAGTTTCTCCCAAGGAAGTCAAGAAGCCAAATCTCCGGCCTATAGTCAAGCCAACCAAACCAAAAATTGAGCCCCCAGAAGATAATAAATCTGAGCCAGCCGCGCAAAATGTGTTCTTGAAATCAAAACCTCAGATCAGACCCAAGCCATCACCAGCCCCTAGGACAGATTCTCCTCAGGCAGATGATAAAGTAGACATTTGCAATCTGAGGAGCAAACTCCGTCCTGCAAAGACTCAAGAGAAACCTTATGACCAGGAATCCATATCTAGTGAGAGTGCCTTCAGTAACAATGTGCTTCCCCTAGAATCTTCTGTCAGATCTCAGGAAAGATCAAATACAGAGGCAAGGCCTCCATCCAGACCAGATAGCCAAGTCTTTAAGGAGCCTCCTTTACCCAAAGTTCCCTTTGGCTCCCCAAAGACGGGTGAGAGTGAGCCAAAGGGCACCTTTCTTGTTCCCAGAGAACCACCCCAGCGGCCCGTAGTACCACCCCGGAGGCCTCCTCCTCCTAAGAAAGCTTCTGTTCCATCACCTACCTCTTCATCTGTTCCTTCTCCAGAACATAAAGCTCCACAGAGAGAGGTACCTGAAGTTAGAGCTGCCCCTGTACCTGGGAGGCCAATGTTGGTTCCACCAAAAGCCAAAGGCTTCTTACCAGCTCCAGGACAAGAAGATGCCAAAGTGAAAAGTGGCTTAGGCCAAAAGGGAATACCCAAGCCTTTGGAAAGGGAGAGACCATCTCTCCCCATCACCAGTGCAGATGTTTCCAAAGAAGCCCTCTATGTGGCAGTGGCTGATTTTGATGGAGATGAGGAAACCAGCAGCTTTAAAGAAGGGACCTTATTTGAAGTCCGTGAGAAGAACAACAGTGGCTGGTGGTTCTGCAAAGTTCTTGCTGGTGGGCCATGTTGGGAAGGCTGGATTCCTTCCAATTATCTCAGAAAAAAGCCATAGTCCCTTCATTGTCTTTATTTTAAATAGCAGGTCAACATTCTCCATTTTAGCAACAAATATTTAATTAGCTTATTTATAGTTTTCATAAGGCTGGCTCTGAAATTTAAAAATAATAACTGGGATACTAAACATTCCATTTGTGTCTTTTCCAAAAGGGAACAATAAGATAGAAATGTCCTCGTATAGCAGGGCTCACCTTTTGTTCTATCTCTTGCTAAGTCACTACCTAGACGGTTTTGGTAGGTAGTCCTATCTCTTTACTAGCTTCTGTCTGGTTTAGGGAAATTGATCAATCACAGTACTTGCTGGCATTTTTTTATCCTGTATAAATTTTGGAGTAAGTGTCAAAACAGAGGGATTGAGACTAAAGAACATTAAAATATGTTCTCAGCTTCAAAGTCTTGAAGAAAAAGGCCATTTTTGCCTTAGCAAAGAAGCAACATCAATCCCACTAGCCAAAGAAGAGAAGTAACAGTGGGAAAGCCCTTGATTTGGACAGTTGTATTAAGTGTCATGTGCCATATATCATCATCAAAGATAAAAACAAATACATAGCACACAAAAAAGTAGAAAAAAGGGAACCGTGGTAATTACTACTATACTTGGGTGAAAGGATCTAAAATGATAAGAGATTCTTTCTAGTCTTTTGTCTGTATTGTTTGTCCCTTGCTTCAACCATCCCTCTGCCAGTATAGACATCCCCTGTGTTGCACCTCTTTTGGGTGTCATGAGCAAACTTGTGCTAGTGCCATTCCTTGTGCTTCTTGCTGCACCAGCTCTTGTATAGATTTAGTTATCAGCCTTTTAGTCTCATTTCAATAAATAGAGAGGATCCAGGATATGTCTTCTCTAGCTAGAAAGGGCCCTCTCGTGAAAAGTGCCTCCTTCTCCCAAACCACATTTTCAGGGATTCCCTGCCCAGTCCCACACTTTATCCTGTACAAAAAGATTGGCCAATCTTTATCATGTTTAGGGAGATGGAGAGGCTGTAAGGGAGGGGGGAAGGGGTTGCTCACTTTCACCAGCCTAATGACTCACATCTAGATTCAACATATAGGATATTGTGTTAGGTTACTCATGCTGATCAGCTGTGAGGACTTGAATGGTAGAACATGTTGCTGGTTCTTCACTACCATATCCCACTTCATATCTTTCCTATCTGCATCTGCAAGTAGCTCTCTTCTGTAATGCCAATCATTCCCAGGATTAGTAGTGACCTGTTGCCAGGATGGTAGCCCTCTGATGGGTGCTAATAATTTCTATTGCAGGGTTTTCCAACCTGGAGTTTCCTAAAGCAGTTGTTCTCACAGTGGTGTGAACTGTCTTACTTCTCTTGCCCAGAAGACACATGTGTGAATACTCATCTCTCAGCCATGAACCATGGCAATTTTCTGTCATGTCATGATAGCGATTCTCATCCGAAGAAGAGTTGTGTCCAAAAGTATCTTTTGATGTGAAGGGACTTCTTAGAATGTATGTATTTGTACTTTGAAACAAGGCATCATATGCAGAAATGTGCCCTTGTGTGTTTGCCGTATGTTCCTTTTCAATATTTGTGGGAAAACCCATTTCCTTCTTGCGTATTCCTTGTGTGTAGTTAAGGGACAAGCACAAGAGAAATACATTTGCATGTGAGTGTCTTCATTTTTGAATTTTAAACACAAGAAATTCTATAATCTGATTTCAACCCTGGACATCTTCAAACCAATCTGTAATGCAGCAGATATTTTCTTAAGATTTTCAGCAATGGAAACCTGAATGGATTTATAATGCGTCTAGGATGTGGCTGAGGTATAAATATTTTACCATATGCTTTTTGTTAAGGTTCTTATTTCAAAAACACTTGCATGTATTATTGTCCTGGATTCAGCTAGATTGGATTCCCATAGGCTGAATCTCACTAAACTACTCAAGCCTACCTACAACATGAACTCTTTCTTTATATGCACTGCTTTTAAAGAATTTTGAGACACTCAAATTTGTTCCAGCTTTAAATTTGCCTTCACTACTTGAAGTTTTTGTACTTGCCTTTTCCCCAGGGTATATTTGTTTGGCTACTACTATGCTAGTCACTTTTAAATGCTTATTGTATTGGTTTTTTAATGGCCATTTGATAATTAAATCTTTGGTCTTGTTATGGTAAATAGTTAGGACTCAGTTTTGGAGACCTTATGCCTGTGGGAGTGATGGGACCCATTCTTCATATCTCATAGTTCTCACAGCTGTTGCCTTCACTTCCTTCTTGATACCACCAAAGCAATCCTTTAACAATCTGCTGCCCAATAATATCAACTCCTTGCATAATTAATCTGTATCTCCCTACTATCTTGTTTGCTCTATATGTAGTAGCAACACTACAGCATGCATTCCAAATAGCTTAATACCAAAACAAGTGTTGTTATACATTTATTCTCCTTCTGTCTTTCCCTCCACACCTTTCTGGGCTGATTCTCTTCTCAAAAGCCTTTCCTTTTCCATTTTCCTAGATGTAAAGGCACAGTAGGAAATTCCCTTGCTGTACACTTCTCTCCTTTCTTCCTTTCTATTCTTGGTAAAATCTTGACAGGCTAAGGACCTCGATCCGGTTTATCCTCTGGTCTGCTTGAGCACTGTGAATGAAAAAAGTTCACAGGCATACATCGGTGCCTCACTTTTTATTATTGCCTGAAACACACAATGATTCTGGGCCGCCTTGCTGTGGGAGTATGAGAAGACATGAACTGACATTGATCTCAATGCTTTGTTCTCCTCTTATGTAAGACAGGAAAGTCATTCTGTATTCCACAGCCGCTCAGTATTACATTTTCTACCCATTTACCTTTCACCCAGCCTATTGACCATTGTTGCAGTAACTTTGAGAGTAACTGTTGTTCAATGTGACCTTTGAGCGTAAGTGTTGTTTTGTGTGTGGTTAAGGGACATTCAGCCTCTTGCTTACCAACGTGAGCTTTACAGCCATCTGCCTAACATGTTCTGGCAAGGTGGAAGGCTGCCTAGATGGCCGTATGCTCATGTGCAGTCTTTTGTCTATTATTATGTAAACTTGTATCAACCTGTACGTAACCGATGGGTGGGGTGGAGAAGGGAAGGGTGGGATCATGTATTCTTCCATCATAAAAGAATGAAGTTTGTTGCTTTTTTAAAGTAAAGAAATAAAAAATAGGCTTGACTGGTTTCAAGCAGAATTGTTACAAATCTTGTGTGTTTTTCTCTTCCACTTTGTGTGTCCTTTTTGCCAATTTATGTTATCTTAATAGTAAGTGTACCATCAAGTGGTTGAGCTGCTCCTTGTATTTCTGCAAGCAGTGTTTATTACATCTTAACTCCATAATTATTAACAGGTCTATGACAAGATTTGCAGGGGAATATCATGTTTACTCTGCCACTGTTTGATAAGCTAGCCCTACCCATTAATTCTGCAAGTGACTATCTAAAATTGCTGTGGTGGGAACTTCCATTTTATCCAAGCTAGCACCAGACACAATACTTGAAAGTGGAACTATTTTGTGACCTTTTTGAATTACAAAAGAACAAGAGGAGTCTTATGTGCAGTGTGATCTATCTTATCTGAACAAAGCTAGAAATGTTTGTAGAGGCTCCATCACTTGCTTTGTTAACCTACCTGCTGAGATAACTTGGTGGGAAGTCATTATAAAAGCTTCAATTATTGAACACACTGAAGAGCAAACCTCATTTCTGCCAAGGTTCATCCTGTCTTATCAGTCTTTGTAGAGTTGTTATGTCTCAATTAGCATGCCGATGAAGGTAATCTGATCAACATTTGATAACTACTTTTCAAAGAAGCTTTTGACAAAGTCTGTTTCCAGAAGCTTTAATCCAGATCTAATCAGTCACAGATCAAGAGGACAAACACTCTTATGAATGGGATACTTGTTTTAAAAGAGGGAGCTAAAAATTGGAAAAAGAAATAACCAGTCGGGTGTTAGAAATTATCTGTATTGGGTTCCATACATATAATTCATTCATAGAGTGTACAATTAAGGACAACCTGTGAAATAGCCATGTTTGTGTATGTCATCAAAATACTATATTTAAAATGTTAAAATCCTAAATTGACTGAAAAGAGTTTTGAAAAGAACTCTCCAACTGAAAAACTAGACCACTGCTTCTGAAACTGTAGCTCAATGTTGGGGTCATGAAGACAACAATATGCTCTTATCGATCTTTTCCCATACTTCGTCCCCCTCCCCATCTCTCAAAACATGAGCTCACCAAAGGCAGTTTATTTGGGCCAAATAGAACAATATGCTCTTATCAATATCTTTCCATACTTGATTTAAAACATTGGTCATGGTCTTACAACTCTTTGTGATATGGTGCTGAGATGTGTGAAAGACCATTTTCTTTCAGATGAGATTGCTGCTCTGTTATGGTCATCATCTATGGCTCTCCTGGTTCTCTTAAATATCTGAAGCATGTTGGGTTGGGACATAGGAAGAAGGCCTTTTCTGTGACTATGCCCAGGCTTGGGAGTTCCTACTATAAGGGACCTGCTTTACACTCTTTTCTGTTAACTTCCACCATCATGTGACAACCTTTCTCTTCTTCCATTAGGCTTTATGTTGTGCAGGTAGTTTAATTTTAGTTTTGTCTTAACAGTTGTGTCTCAATAATGATTTTTCATGTTTTGTTTTATTTTAATATATTTATATATATTTATGTTGCTTGATATTGTTACTAGTTTTAGACACTTAAGCAAAGACGTGATTTAAATTTATTCAAGCAAATAAACTAAACTAACTTATTTGCACAATTTAACGTATTAAAATGCATGTTTGTTGCCTTTCTGCCCACGAGGGCGCTGGAGGTGATGTGCCACAGATTAAAACATTATTTTTAAAAATGCATAAATCTTTTTAAAGCATGTCATTAAATTTCTCAAATGCTAACCTTAGTTTTACAGTCCAATAACATAGAATGGTCATGCTACCAGAAGCTCAGCTGGGTAGTTTCTTGACCACATATCTAGTACATTCTGGCAGCAAAATGTATTGTAATTCATTGTCATAAGATGTGGTGGCTACTAGCTTAGATGGGCTTTAAGGGGCATTCATTCAATCCATGTGGAAAAACTGCTCCAAATCTGATGCTGTCCAGATACTTTGGACTTCAGTTCCCATGGCTCACAACCACACTGCCTAATTGTCAAGGTTGTTGATAGTTATGGCCGAAAAGATTTGGAGGGCACCTCATTGAAGAAGGTAAATGTATAGAGATACATCTATTTGGATCTTCAGCAGAAGGCCCTCAGAGTAGTTCTTCCATGACAGCCCTTTGAGGACTGGCTGTGCTCAGTGGGCACAGAAAGTAGAGTATTGCAAGGAGCAGGAGTGGAGAACTAGGATTACAGGAGGAATGGAATACAGCTCCCTGAATAGCAACATTTTCCTGTTGGTACCACTCATGTTTTGGGCAATCCTTTAGCAGGAGACAAAGCATGAGAGAAGATTTTTTTAGGTAGTGCTTATAGACTTCCCAGATGTATTATGTATTTATCTGATCTTTATATACATCAGTTTTCAATGGCCAGGTGGCATTCCTAGGGCAGTTTACAAAGGCTGTCCTGCATAGGAAGCAAAATGCTAAACTGGATTGAAGTTTAGTGTGAGGCAGCAAGACTTCTTTCTTATTCTCCTGTAAAGCAAGCCATGGCATTATTTTACTAGTCCTGTCAATGTTTGTTTCTTAAAAAAAATAAATTCTGTTGCTGGGAAGGTGGTCATTGTATCAGCATCAATGAGTTTAGTTAAGCCTCTGCTGCTGGACATTCTGGAGGTTCTTTCCTGAATGCATGCACAATCTGAAGCCATTGGTCTAACCTATAAGTGTTAGAAAGAGAAGTCTGTTTCCTGTATGTAGATGATTGCTTGATGGAAAACCAGTCCAGGTGACATAGGAGCTGGCCAGAACAAATGAGAAACTTGCAAGGATAGGTAGGTCCTCAAATGCCATCCTTTATTCCTCTCTTGGGTAGAATCCAGGGCACAAACGTCAGGTACACCCACTCATTTCTTCCAGATCATTTTCCTGGCATATAGTGTATGCCCGGGGCTATATTGTTTGCTGATCTTGATAGGTGTAGGAATTATTGCCTATTATTGCAGAGGACTATATGCTTCCTACCTTGAGAAGTCAGACTTGGCCAAGGGAGTCCATGGTCTGTTTACATCCCAAATAGACTACTGCAGTGCACTCTATGTGGGTTGCCTTTGAAGACTGTTCAGAAGCTTGAAGTGGTACAACAGATGGCAGCCTGATTTCTCACTGGACCTGGGTACAGGGCCACACAATCCCCCTACTACGCCAACTCCATTGGCTGCTAGTCTGCTACCGATCATAAGTCAAAATGCTGGATTCAGCCTATAAAGCCCTAAATTGTTCCAGCCCAGCTTACCTGTCCAAAAGTATCTCCCTCTATTTAAGGTTAAGATCTTCTGGGGAGGCCCTGCTCTCGGTCCCATCTCCTCAGGCGTGATTGGTGGGGATGAGAGATAGGCCCTCTTGGTGGTGGCCCCATGGCTATGGAACTCCCTCCCCAGTGAGATGAGATCAGCTCCTTCTCTCCTGACCTTCAGGGAATAAAAATCTTAAGACGTGGCTTTGGGACCAAGCTTTTGACAAATAATTGGAGCAGTGCCATAAGTGACCATGAATCAAGGTGACTGACAAATGGAATAGCCCTGGATTATGTTTTGGATGACATGATTTGAATTGATGTTTTAATAAGTCTTTGTTTGGTTTTAATTGTAATTGTTTATTTTATGTGTGTGTGGTATTGAATTGCTGCCTGTTGTAAGGCCGCCTTGATTCCCCTCCGGGGTGAGAAAGGTGGGAAATAAATATGGCGAATAAATAATAAATAAATACGTTCTGCAGAAGGTTAAATCTCTAAGAGTTCTTCAAAAATCACTGTAAATCAAACCCAGTAACAGCTAAGAGAACTTAACTCAATCACTGGGTGTGTTCTATTATGCCTTTTTACCCTTAAGACCATGAAAAAGGCAAAACGAGACACCCAGATTAGAATTCAGCCACCACCCTGCCATGAAATTTTCCTATAATCCCATTTCTAGTAAAACACTGAAAATAGTTAACACCTACAACTCTTACATTTGCTGGTGTTTCCATTCTCTTGGTCATTTTATCTGCCTCTTTTCTTTGGATGAAAGAAATGTCTTTCTAAATGCTCAACTGAAGTTTAAAGTCACTTGGGTTTTGGAATTTGTCAGGCTGAAGGAAAATTTACCTTGGGGAGGCAACCCCGTTGTTTGTTTTTTTTTTTCTCCCCTCCTATACTGGCAGCCCTAAAAACCTGCAGTTCCAATCACAAGTATAATTAATTCTGGGGGATATCGTAGGAGTTCTGGCTCTTTTTATAGTGCCTGGGTTTCTTTTCCTTTCTTAACATCCACAGTGTTTTGAGTGTCAAGTGGCCACTATGTGGCGCTGTTAGCGCAGTTACCAAGGGTTTTTCTGAGAGTGCCTGTTGTTTTCCTTCCTTCCTAACCGCTCAGCACCACCTGTTAGCTGGAGGCAGCAGGGAAGCATTTTCCTTAGGTTTAGCAGCATTCTTGAGAAATGGCACTGAAGCTGTACTGAAGTAGCAATTATAATATAGAAAGCTGTTGCAGGATGGGGTAGTTGATCAAAGTAGAACTGAGAGGCCCATCTTTCAATAATATCTTCACCTGTGCAGTTGGGGTAACTACTTATATTAAGACAGCTGAAGGACACCGTTGGCTCTGTTCGAGAGTAATTGTTTCTCTGTGGCATGTTATTGCAAAAACAAAATGAAAAACAACCGCTTATGAGAGTTAATTTTGGAATGTGCCCCATTTAGCGAGATAAGGTGATTATTATGATTTGAAACACAAGAAGATGAATCCACAGCAGACAAGATCACTCTGCTGGTTGTTGTATTGGAACACATCAGACACTTCCCAAGTTGGACTGTGTGATATATTGGTGAATAATGCGTGCAGATCTCAGTAAGGTGGCCTTTTGCAGCTGGCAGATGGTAATTTTGTCAGTGCCGATTGTGTTTAAGTGCAGGCCAAGGTCTTTAGGTACAGCACCTTGTATGCTGATCACCACTGGGACCATCTTTATTGGCTTGTGCCAGTCTTTGCAGTTCGATCTTTAAATCCGCATATCGTGTCAGCTTTACCAGTTGTTTCTCTTCAATCCTGCTTCTTCTTCTTCTTCTTCTTCTTATTATTATTATTATTATTCAGAATTCTAAGGTGTATTGGGGGGAAAAAAGAAAAGTCCTGGCAACTATTTGCTTGTTGAACTCCTCAAATAATTAGAAAGAAATCAAAATGCTTCCTACTTTTACCCCTATTGTTTTCAGAGATGTATGCACTTGGTTTCATAGCCCAAACCCAACTACAGTAAAATAGATACATTGGATGACTTGCTGAATGGTAAGTCAACACATATAAGACTTGTTAAGACTAGAAATTGGGGTTGGCTTCCAATTTCTGCATCCAAATAATGGAGGGAGATGCCTTAGGAGGGATTCTAAGTACATTATATATTTCTACTGTTGTTTTTTCCTTGACAGAGTTGCTGTCTCAGGCCAGCCATACCCTCTGATCCATAAACTGTCAAAGGCCATTATTTTGGCATCACTTCTTGACCAACACTGATCCAAAGAGCTGTGACTGTAACAGACAATTGATTGAGGTTCTATTACTGTACATGGAGGTGGAGAGCCTGATGTTGAAGTATTGCTGCATCCGCCATGCTTTACAATTAGCTGGAGTGGCTTGGACTGGGAGGAATTGAAGTCCAATGACATCTGGAGGTCTGAAGGTTCCTCGGCCTTGTTTTATGCTCTGAGTTGCAATGTTTGCTTGCGTGACAAACTTTAAGATGGAAGATTGGCTCCATTTCAAGTGCACCTAAAGAGACTCTTAACACAGAAGGCCTTAGGTATGGATGTGCATTTCACATGCCCACTCCCTCTGTCTTTGGTGTGGAGATTGGGTGCAAATGGTCCCACTGCCTATAGATATTTTAGTAAACTCCACTGGCTGATCTCTAGTGCTTTCTGGTGATTACCAGGAAGCAACCATGAATGGAGGTTGGATAATGTGTTCACCTGCATGCCATGTTATCGCAATGATATCATTGCATCACACTCCCATCATCTGAATAAGGATTTAACAGAGTGCCTGCTGAAAGAGAGAAATTGACATAATGGGTTGTGTTTTTCACATTTCATTCTTGGGAACCAGTGCTTTCTTAGTGAGAAAACTGATAATGGTAAATAATTAACTTAAAAGAGAGTATATGTTGTATTTATCATTCCTTTAAAATTGCTGAAACAGGTGCGCATGTGAGGCATGGCTGCATAAATTCAGGAACAGAGCATAGTGAACATGTGGGAAATTTTGTGTGCCAACCACAGTTCAGTGTGGTTGTATAGCCCAAATTGCATTGATGTGGATGGCATGTAAACAACAGAACTACACAGGATTGCTGTTAGTGTTTTTGCATGAGCATCCACTTGTAATACCACCCAGGGAGTATGAAACAGTATGATGTGGCACTTGGTTTATTTGTTTTGATTTAAATTAAAGGTTATTTATTAAATGAAAGACTTTGGGAAGCTTCAGGAAGGGAAGTTCAATAACATTAGATGTTAAGATTATCCTTGGTTTGCTTTTTCTGAGCAAGGAGGAAACTGTTAAAGGGACACCGTCTATTTATTGAAATGACCAAGTGTCAAGTGAAAGAGCCTTGAGAATTGTGTCTAATGCCTGTAACATGTGGACAAGGAAGGGAGCCTTGGGGAGGTTGCAAAAAGCTTTAAACAGTACAGTCTGTCAAGCAACCTAAGATGAAATGGGAAGGGAAGTGACAGCCTAGCTTAAAAGTGATCCAGAGGGCATTGGCAGGCAACGCTAGACAGGCAAGGGACCCTGATCCCTGCCAGAGTCAAAGAAGCTGAACTGACACCTAGTCTTGGCTTTAAAAGAAAAATGAGAACAAACTACTATGAAAAATACCCAAACCTTCTTTGTGATTAGCCATTTTCCATTTTGAGGTAGTTATAACCAGGTCAAAAGCCATGAGACTCGTAAGGAGCTGACACTGAGGTAATATTTGGAGTACTATACTCTGGTATGTTATTTTGTGGTATCTGTTTTTGCCTTTGTCCATTTTAGACCACAGGGAATACTCACAAGCCAACATTTTATTTGTTTCATAAACAGGTAAATTTTTATATTAATATAAAACAGAACAAAATAAAAAACACACACGCACACTACAGATCACAATGCTAGAGAGTATTAACATGTAAAGAAGTGCAAACTTCCCTCCCCAAATAATTTGCTTTGAAAATCTTATCATAGAGAGAACAAAATTTGACTTATTTTAGAATGTGATGTACAGACCACAGTCATGAACCAGAAAAATATTAAGAAGTATTACAAATCTGGAAACTTTTGAAAAAGCTTTTTATACAAAGAGGACATGGGGAGGAGGGTGGCAGCAAAAATTCAATGAAAACATACAACTTTCACTCCAATATCAAAAGGAAAAAACCAGAGTCCTTGGTGAACACATAAAATTCTATAAAACTACCAGCCATCCCCTGTGGTGAAGTTCCTTTTTTCTCTCTCCATTTGATTTAAAGTAGCATTAAAAAGGATAAAAAGTGCACAGACACCCTTATAAGGCACAAACAGATCTTCTAAAAAGAGTTTGGCTGGAAAAAAGAAGAGCAATAACAAGAACAAGTTGCTAAGTAACTTTCCTCTCTTAAAAGGTATCTGTCAGAATTTGAGAATTCCTTGTGAGGCTGGAGTAGTGTAAAGCTGTGTGGCCATTGTTGACCTTTCTCCATCTGCTTCACAATCCACAGCAATGGACTCATTTGCCCTGCTCAAAGCTCTGTGAGATGCTGCTCCTTTGGGGAAATCAGTTTCAACCAAAAGAATTAAGACAATACACACCCTTTCCACCTTTGCGCCAAGGTGCAAACTTAAATTTCTTCTCAAAACATAATCACAGTGGCAGCTTGTAAGCTGTTGTGGGGCACAGACTGATCCAGACCAATTAAGGCCAAACACTTCCAGCCCAGAAGAAATGAAACAAATATTCCGGCTGGTTTTGATATGATGTAACAGCTGACAGTATTAAACTGAAGGAGCTATGGCCTGTTTTTTTTTTTTTTTTGGGGGGGGGGGGGAATACCATTTAACCCGTCCCAAATGTTAGCAGTAGAAAGGAGGTAGTGACTATGTCTTGGTAATTAGTTATTTGGTAATGATCAATTATTAAATGGTTAGGTTTGCTTAAAAGTATGTCATACCTACAAAAATATAAACGTGTCCCTTTCTTTTTACTCTATTTCTCCAACCATTTTGCCACCTGTGGTTTTGGGAACTGAAAATGGTAGAAGCAACTACAACAAAGAAACTCCATTTATCTCCACCTTGTAGTTTGTGGTCAACATGTTGAATAGTTCTATATGAGGGAAGTAGGATAGAGTTAAAATGTTAGGGGAATGATCTGAGCAGTAGGAAATTACCCAAGCAGCTATGGTATCATGTATAGTTGGCTCTTGTGTTTCCCATGTGTGGAGCATTTGAGATATATTCATCTCCGAGGATCCTACAAGCTACTCTAGTACAGTAGTTCAAAGGATTGGGGCATATATCAGCAGATATACCACGATTTCTGCTTTGGAGAGCACCTGTAGCATACTGACATATAGTAACTACACTCAAGGCAGACAGAGCTGTTCCATTTCCATCTCAGTTGACAAAATGTCTTCATGCAGACTTTGGTTGAATAAAAAAGCTCAAGATCCCTAGGTATTAGTGAGAGAGTATGGCCAGATTTCTGTGAAATGCAATAGGATCCTGCTGGACACAAGAGAAGAAAATTAGCCAGTGGGCTGGTGGTTTTATTGCTCTCTTCCTAAAGTCCAAATTTGGTTTCAGGTGATTGCAATTCAGAGTTCTCTAACCACAACCAAAGTTTCATTTATCTTTTAAGACCAGGCATCTAATAATAGCTTGCAAATTCTTTTCCCAGCAAACAATGCCAACTGGAAAGCCTTTTAATTTCAGTAAGATGCCTCCATTGTGGAATAGAAGACAACTCCCTGGAGAGGAAGAAAGGAGAGCTCCCACAGAACTGTATACTTTGTTGACATGTTCTCAAGTGAAGAATGGAGGAAAACATCAATCAATGCATTTACAAATCACAAGTACGGAAATGGTGGAAACTTGAAATGCCAAATTCTCCCTCAGTCTCACTCCTTTGCTGCCTGGTTATAAGGAAACTTGTACATGCCACAGTTCACAGTTGTGTGAGTATGGCCATTTGTAACCTCCAGAGCATCTAGTATTCCTTTTCTGCAAGCTGAGGCTTACTGCTTCCAGTAAATGAATCTCTTCACCTCAAGATGTACTCGGCAGTTGCTCAGCACAACAGCTGGAAGTTTCAAATGGGGATTGCGGGAGGAGGAAAATGCTCTGCTCAGAAATTGTTTACTTTTGGTGCTCAGAGGACATTTATAGCTGTTTGCATCTCTCACTGTCAAGACTTATTCATCCATGCAAGTGTCTCGCTCCTTAGTCTGGCTTCACAGACCAAGATACAGTCTGCAAATGTGGGGCACTAAACCATGAATGAGCAGGTCGCGCTGGCACAGGCCACCTTCAGTTATTCTGAAGTGTGATTTCCATTCCTGTGCTTTACATCGCTCTCTCTCTCTCTCTCTCTCTCTCACACACACACACACACACACACACACACATTCTCAGCCTGTGAAAGGCTTGAAATAAGCCAATGTCACCCGGTGTCTCCTGCCCTCTCGACACTTTAGAAGGTGACAAGAGAGGCTTCACGGCCTGATGCATCTGTTGACTTCTAAAGAAAACATCTAGTCAATAAAGTTTCCTCCTTCCTGTTTGAAACTGACTAAGAAGCTGGCTAATTTGCTAATTTTCCTATGTAGGGTTAAAGTGCTGAAATTTTATAAAATTGGTCAGATGATTGCTCACTCCAACCCCCTGCCTGAGACAGGACAGCTGTATTTCTTAACGAAAACAACTGCCACAAGAGAGTTCTTTCCTTTTGAAATAGAGTATTTTGGGTTCAGGCCTTACTACACCCCATTCTTTACCCATTAGAGCAGCACCTTTACAAAGCTCTCTCCACTCCACAGCTGTACCTTTAGCCTCAGTGAGGACCAGATTGTTGCCCAGTTCACTTTGTTATCCCTGATTTGTTTCTACTGGTCAAACATGTGGAAATAGAAACAAAAGAGTCACTCAGGAACCACTGACCAACACAATAACCCATAAGCAGGTACAGGAAGGTATGGTAACTGTTAACAACATTCTTCCTCCTGTTCCTCCTCATTCACACCCAGGTGGGGGTGAAGAGAGGTTAAGGACGGTAGATTTTAATAATGTCTTTGATGACCCGTCGGCAGATGGGGCAGCAGGCATTGAGTTGCTTCTTTAGCTTAAGACCACAGGTGTTGCAGAGGCACATGTGTCCACAGGTGTAGATCACCACATCAACCTCGTTGTCAAAGCAAACGGTGCATTCCCCATTCTTGCTGCTTGAGGGCTCCGGAGGTGGAAACACAGGGGACACGGGAGGGCTCAAAGGAGAACTTGGAGCAGTCACTGCAAAGGAGCAAGAACAAAGCAACCTTGGTCAGAAGAGCCATTCCCTTGTCCTTCAGGCAAGGAGGTGTCTTAACTTATTTTAATTGCCCAGTTTTAACTTGCCAGTTTGTTTTAAACTGTTTATCGAACTGTAAAATAATTTTAGTTTGAAATATTTTTGGTGAGGAATAGGAAAAGAAAAAGCAGCCTATGCAATGGCAAAAAATATATATATATCCCGGATGCTTTTTTTTTTATTTTAAATGAGGAATGCTATAAGGAGTTACAAAGTGGACAGAGGAAGCAGGTTTGCCAGGGCAAATCAACATATTTTTTTTCCCTCTCCTCTTCACCCCTTTCCCTGTCTCTTTTGCATTTCCTCCTGATATTATCACACTGCATATACACTTGAGATTGTTTCAAACAGCTGATTTTAAAGAAGATATAACTAATTTTAATGTTTGTGTATATTTATAGTTAATGTTCCGGTATGGAATGCTTGCGATATGTATTTTGTGCTCCGCCCTGAGTCCCCTGGGAAGGGCGGAATATAAATGTTTCAAATAATAAATAAATACATAAATACATAAATGAATAAATATAGGAATGGGAACATTGATCTGCACAGATGTTGCCAGGTAACACCCACTAGTACCTGGCAAATTTACTGGCACATTGTAAAAAAAATGGAGGTAACACCACTTCAGTTTCTTTTGGAGAGATGAAGTCACCGTTTATGAAATCATGAAAACCTGCACCTGTTCCACTTTCCCTAAAATATCTCCATTGCCTTTGCTGGCCAGGATTAAGCAAGGTGGAGCTTCTACACCATAGATTTTATGTGATGGATTATACTTGAGGGCTGGACTATGAGTCTGGGGAGACCAGGGCTTGGATCTCCACTCTGCCACAGAAACCCACAGGGTGATCTCAGCCTGAGAGTGAGACAAACCTTACTGGGGAAACCCTATGACATATCTTGGAGTTGACCTTAAAGCACATGGGACCAGGAACAATTTTTTTCAGTTTTTTTCAATTGAAGTAAGAAAACTCCCATGGTTCAAGGACCAGTTTCCTTTCCAGGATCATCCTTAGGCTGCACCATTCCACTTCTGGTTTTGTAAATCCTCCACTTGTAAAGTTTGGGGAAGGGGTCTGTACCTTGTCTTAAAAAACATGAAGCATTTGGGGGGGGGGCAGTAGGATTGTCCAGAAGAATCTGGGAAGGGATCAAGGTCTACAGAAACAGGCAGTGGGCAGGATGTCCTTCCTACTGTGGTAATTTCTGTGAGTTTCTATTTTCTGGACACTATTTATTTCATGATTTTCTGAGCTACCATCTGTGTTTTTTAAAGCCCAACAAGCCATCTTAGTAAGGGCAGCCTAAGGAAATTCAGACCCTCTCCTCTCCAGCAGGAAACACATCAGGGATTTATTGTAAAAGGCAAGATTCAAGTGTCATAGTTTGGCTATTCAAGAACTGAATGTAGTTCCTGCTACAACAGCACAGAGGAGAAAAACAAAGCATCCTTTACCTAGGGATGATTCAGATGCAGAAGAAGACCTGTTCACACTGAAAGCCATGTCTGAATCACTGTCATACTGAGAACCTCCTGGGGATCCTGAGGGGGAGACCGTCACTGGGCTGGACTGCACTGTGCCTGAAAATACAAAAGACAGGTTCAATTCAGCTTCACGACTGGGACAGGGTGTCTCAGGTCTTAACATGCTGAACTGAGTACATTGGGATAACGGGGGTATCTGTTTCATCCCTGCAGTGAACTTTTATAAAAGAGCTCAGTCTTCTCAATCACTGGTTTGTTTTAAAAAATGAGATTCCTCTGGTTCTAACTTGCCTTAATTAACTGTATTGCTATGGCACGCTCCCCTTTGAATTCAGACTATAGAGGTCACAATCTGATTGGCAATATCCTAGCAGGATATTGGCTTGATGGAAAACCAAGATCCCCTTTGCTATGTTAAATTGCCATCTTAATCTACGAAATGCTCCTCCTGTGGGAAGATGCTGATCACTTAATTACTCTTTTTTTTAAAAGAACATTCATTCCACAAAAAAGCTGCACGATGGTGGAATCTGTGTTAACTATTTATTCTGCACAGAAAATATTAAGGGCCCAAGTATAGAAAATGCTCCAGTATACCTCCTCCTAGTCACATGAGTGCTACGAAATGAAAGATCCTATCAAAATAGACCAGCCCCGCTAGCTAGATGGTGCCTCACTGTCTGGAAGGAGCACATTTTGGCATCAGATGATGGGGACAAAGAACAAGGGGTAGCTAGCAACCTCGTGCCCTGCTTGAGCAGAAAGTCAGCTGCTCTTGGGGAAAGGATGGACATCTTGAGTTGATCATGCAAAGACAATTCCAATGTCATGCTTTGATTTAGAATCATTAAACCAAGGTTTTTTCAGTCAGAAATGCAGAGTTGAAATGACCTGATCTATGCCTTGAGCATATGGTTGATAAAAAATGCTGTGTTAGTGTTCAGGGAGAATGTATATTATTGCAGATGTGCTGGGACCACAGCTCCCCGTTGCATAGTCTGTCTGTAAACTGACCAGGTTTATGCTTCAGGAATGCCAATGCAAGTCACTGCTTTTGCCTGGAAGACTTAGAACAAGGCAAGGGCCCACTGAACCCAACAGGAAAATAATATTCCAGATGTCTGTAAACCAGTAGTTCCCACTTGACCAGAGACCACTTTGATTAGGGACCCCTCTCCAACATTAGTACCAAAAGGATTATGAATCCATTTTTTGGTCAACTTTAGATTTGGTTTGGTTATTGGGGTACTGATTCAGAAAATTGCATTGGATAGACCACACCAGCTTTAGTTTCTGATACAGAACATATGCCATCCCATAGTCAGCTTGCCCACAGAAAACCATATTTAATAATTAGAGCTGATATGGTAGTAGTCTTTTGTGGATAGTCAGCCTCTTCCCTCTGGACATCCCAGTTGCCTTGTCACTATAAGAGGGTTTCGCGAAACCAGTCACTCTCGTTGTTGCATGGTTTCGAGGCAATGGTGTAGTAATGGTGAGGCCGTGGACCACATTTTTGTTCTTGTGGACCACTGGTGGTCCATGGACCACAGGATGGGAACCACTGCTGTAAAGAGTCCTTAATGGTTCACAAGTCTTATATTGCTTAATTCTTATTATTTACTTTTGAGGTGCACTTACCTAAAATTTTGAGCTGATTGATGACACCATGGATTGTGAAGAACACCCACAGCGACTGTGAGGTATCAACGCACATTAGCATCCCACGACTCATCCCATTTATTCCATGATGCACTTCTCCATTTGGCAAGACCACAAAGTTGAGGATGTCACCATTGTTGAGGACTGGGAATCCCCGGCAAACTACCCAATACTCCTTGCGATCCAGAAGGAAGTCTGGATCCGCTGGGAGCTCATTGGTCCGTAAAGTACCTGGATCACAAGAGGTGATGCCAAAAGTAAGAGCTCCATAATAGGGCAGTCCCAGGTGGCCAACCTCCACAAAGAGGCTTTCGCCAATGTGCAGCGGTCGGTCAGAAAACACCAAAGTTCTATTGCTCTCTTGCCAGTTGGTGCAGGCAGACATCCGGTCCTGAGAGAAGTTGATGTCAGGCCCATGAGTAGAGTGGAAATGCAGATCAGTATCCAGAAACGCAGGCACCACTTGGGCAAGCTGCCGTCTGTTGGGACAGCAAGGAATTGTGTGGTTATCTGTGGGCAGACCAGGCACACGACTCAAGTTCAGATTGGCAATTTTGGCCACTACTTGGTTATTCTCCAGTTCATTGTTGTTAAAGTTGGCTGAATCATGGCTGCTTTGTGGAAGGCAAGTGCTGAGTCGGGCATTGCTGAGACGGGCAGAAGTCATCGTTTCAGCAAACATGCTATCTGTAAAAAAAAAAATGATAAAAGGAAATCTGTTTTAGAAACAGACTGAAAACAGCAACATGCTCTTGCTAGTTAGTTGTTTCCTGGCTGCTCCGGTACAGTATCAGCATCTGGTTCAATAATTAATTACTGCCTTCTTTCTCCGAAAACATGGCAGCCTCCAGATGTCTTTGATTACAACTCAGTCACTGCCAACATGGCCAGGACTGCTGGGGATGGCTGAAGTTGTAGCCCAACACATCTGGGAAGTTTCCGTTTGGGAAGGCTATTGCCCCAGTCTGGTTCTTTAAACCAAGACAAGTTAAGGTTAAGGAAAGGTTAAGGAAACCAAGACAAGTTAAGGTTAAGGAAAAATATCTGGTGGCACAGAGGTGGCAAAGCAGTAAAGAATTTTTCCATAAAACAAAGTTATATCATGCCAATTTGCTATTAATGCTTCTAAAATCTACAGAAACCACCTTCTGGATGCTTTGCAAAGGAAGTTCTTATTCTCCACCACTCTCTGTTTTGCCTTCATGAAAATGGAGATTCACAAAAAGAAATCAGTCTGCTTCTGATCTTTCTCTCTGTCTGAATTAAGGAGCAAACACATTTTGCATACTCTATCTTCTTGTAAAGGCAAGAACATATTCCTTCCCCATGTCCCATCCCCCCCCCCCTTCCTTTGTCCTTGCCAATTTAATTCACGTAAGAGGGACGGGAAAGAGAAAACATTCAATCACGTTAGAAACCATTAATAATAAATTGTGAAATATACTGCATGCTAAAATAGCAGTTGTGACCTTTTAAAATGTTTCAAAGCACACTAGCCTCTTTGTTATTCACAGGCCATGTGAGCAAGCAATGCACCCGCTTGGAAGCATGTCCCATCTGATAGCATCAGATGTCAAGAAAATTGACAGGCCAAAGTGTGTAAAATCTAGAAGTAGATCATTCTGTATTAGACATCCTGCTTACTCTTACTATGAGCTGACAATGGGAAATGGCCATGTTGTTTTAGCCAGACTCTTGATTTAGGACATTTTGATTTTTTAAATAGGGGCCACACTGCTCAGTGTCTGTTCAGTTAACCTTGTATTGTTCCTTGGGAAACAGTATGGAAAAGAGGTTAGGGCATATAGAAGTTGGGTTGGTGGGGATATACTGTATACATGCTCATATATAAGTCTAGAAAGTTTAGTCAAAATTTGACCCAATGTCCTGGAAGGACTTATCCACAGGTCAGTGCATGTACTATAACTTAACTCTTAATTTAAAAAGAATCATAGAGTCATAGAATTGGAAGAGAACTCGTGGGCCACCCTGTCCAACCCCCTGCAAAGAAGCAGGAAAATCACATTCAAAGCACCTCTGACAGATGGTCATCCAGCCTCTGCTTAAAAGCCTCCAAAGAAGGAGCCTCCACCACACTCTGGGGCAGAGAGTTCCACTGCTGAACAACTCTCACAGTCAGGAAGATCTTCCTGATGTTCATGTGGAATCTCCTTTCCTGTAGTTTTAAGCTATTGTTCCACGTCCTAGTCTTCAGGGCAGCAGAAAGCAAGCTTGCTCCCTTTTCCCTATGACTTTCCTTCACATATTTATACATGGCCCTCATCATGTCTTCTCTTCTGAAGGCTAAACATGCCCAGCTCTTTAACCCAGTCCTCATAGAGTATGGATCCTTTGTTTGAATTTAGTCCATCCCAGGAGAAAATAAAAAAGCATTGCCCCTTCTTCTCTTTCCATTACAGTGCTGTGTCTGGCCTTTTTGAATGTCTGGGTGGGAAAATTGTGGTGGCGGCTGTTGGGAGGCTGGCTCCTTAGGCAGCTCTAGTTATTTCCTCTTCTATGCACAATAACTCTCAACTTATCAACAGATCATATCAAAAGGCCATAATTTGGGCCCCCAAACTTGTACTCAATTTATACACAAGCATATACAGTAATTTATATTGTTCGCACTTTAAAATAATTGGGAAGAAGTCCCATTAATTGATCCATTATGTCTCTTACAGAGCATCACTTAATTTAGCTGGGGAGTAATAATGTTATCTTTTGCAATCATGCCCACAATAAGATGGCAAGGCATGCCAAATTCCTCCTTTTAACTCAATTGTTGAGCTATAATAGACGGATGCAGTAAATCGACACCACAAAGACGAAACTGGGTAGATTATGCTGGCTTTATTCCGATAACCCCAGAGTACACTAGAGGCATGTATTAATAAGCACATGTCCTGAGAAGAGCTGAGGCAGCGGATACAACACAAGAAGCAGCACACACATCTTTAGTGCTTTGTAAACACACATCACAGAGCTTGTCTCTAAAGGACAAAAATAAATCCACAACCATGTCCCATTAAGCTATACTTGTAGGTAAGACCAACTGAAGCAGAGTTATCACCCGAACTGTGGAGGACAAGGTGATAATTCAAAAGCAATAAATCTCTTGTGAAAACAGGATAGATTTAAGGAGAGGAAAAAGCCAATACTTTGGAAAAGTTTCCAGACTCTTGGAAAGAGCATTACAGCCTTGCAGTCCCCCTTCCTGGAGTTCTCTGATAAGCTGTGAGGCTGGTGTTTCTCTTGTGTCTAGGTGCTGTGCTTTCCAAAAAAACTCTGATAGGGCAGGAATGTAATGTGAGAGGTTCTAAGTGGCCCTCCAAGGAGATAAGAGCCTTAAAACCCAAGCTGAAGGAGGAGAAAAAAGACATGCCTTGCGGATGAGTCATTGTGTTCCCCTGGACCAGACAATATATACACACAGCTGGCCATTTGTGAAGCCTGAGCATCACTGGCTCATTGGCCTGGGTTTCTTGATCCTTGGGACACACTGTTCAAAAACGTTAATCCTGTTTCATACTAAAGACACCCACACAACAACTAAACAGTCTTACTGAAGTACTACATGTAAAAGACATGTGCTATTAAGATATGTGGAGAGCAGCTTCTTCAAAGCTGACAATTTTAGACATCCTTATTTCTAACACTTATTGCTACCGTGACACCATGACACCATCAGAATTTATGTGGCAGAAATAAAATAGTTCTGGGCATGCAAAGATCTGAAAGGAAAGAAGATGTGGAGGGATAAAGTTGCTTCTACACTTTGGCTGAATGATCATTTCACCATGAGAAGAGGGGAAACTTGACAGCAGGTTTCCCATTTTCAAGCAGAGGATTGGTTCTAGAAGGGGTGCTTTCAGTCTTTCACAGGCACATTTATTTATTTATTTATTTATTTATTTATTTAATTTAATTTAATTTATTTATTTATTTATTTATTTATTTGTATCCCGCTTTTCTCCCAGAGCATATCTTCACTGCAGTTGTCTTTGAAATGACAGATGAAATTCTCAGAGTGGTCACTAGTGAATCAGATCACAACACCTCATTTGCTTTTTTTGTCTACAAAGAAAGCCCTAGCAAAGCCAATGTGAGTCTAGGCTATGTCGATAGGAGTATTGTGTCAAGGGAACTGCTTTATTCTGCTTTAATCAGATCTCACCTGACTGGCACAACCTGGGGATCACAACCAGATACAGTGAAGACATCTGCCTTTGCACTTTGTTACTCTGCTGCGGAGTATGCATGCCCACTGTGGAACACATCTCACCACACTAAAACAGTGGATGTGGCTCTTAATGAGACATGGTGCATTATCACAGCTGTCTGCGCCCTACACCACTGGGGAAATTACATTGTCTAGCCGGTATTTTACCACCGGACATCCACTGGGAAGTAGCAGCCAATAATGAAAGGACCAAGGGGTGACATCTCCAGCCCATCCCCTGTTTGGATATCAGCTAGCACGCCAATGCTTTAAATGAAGAAATAGTTTTCAAAGAGCTACAGAGATACTTGCAGGAACACCTCAGCAAGCGAGAGTCCAAAAGTGGCAGGCTAAAACTCAACTCCTCAATCCATGGATGATACCAAATGAGAGACTCCCTCCTGGGCACACAGAAGACTGGATCGACTTGGAAGGAGATAAACGGACTGCACTCTGGCACCACGAGATGCAGAGCCAACCTTAAGAAATGGGGCTACAAAGTTGAGTCCACAACATTCAAGTGTGAAGAAGAGCAAACCACAGACCACCTATTACAATGCAGCCTGAGCCCTGCCACATGCACAATGGAGGATTTCCTTAAAGCAACACCAGAGGCACTTCATGTGGCCAGCTACTGGTCAAAGGACATTTAATAGAATGCCAAGTTTTAAAACTTTGTTTTTTCTCAAATACATTGGTTCACTCCTGATACGATAAATAAATAAAATCTCAGCTGGAATACTGTGTCTAGTTCTTCTTAACACAATTCAGGAAGGATATTGACAGGCTGGAACTCTCCAGAGAAGGGCAGCAATAATGATCAAAGATCTGGAAGCCAAGTCCTATGAGAAGTAGTTTAGGGAGCTGGTATGTTTAGCTCAGAGCAGTGGTTCTCAACCTGTGGGTCCCCAGATATTTTGTCCTTCAACTCCTAGAAATCCTAACAGCTGGTAAACTGGCTGAGATTTCTGGGAGTTGTAGGCCAAAACAGCTGGAGACCCACAGGCTGAGAACCACTGGCTTAGAGAAAGTTGAGAGGAGACATGATTGCCATGTTTAAATCTTTGAAAGGACGTCTGCCGCTCTAAAGATTAGGACACAGAGCAATGTATCCAAACTGCAAGAAAAGAGATTCCACCTAAACACTAGGAAGAACTTTCTGCTGGTAAGCACTGTTTGGATGTGTTTAACCAGTAGTCATATGATCATCTGTCAGGGGTGCTTTTATTGTTTCATGCATGGCAGGCAGTTGAACTGAATGGCCTTTGGGGTCTCTTCCAACTTTATGCTTCTAAGGCTGCTACAGGCTACTTTCTCTAACCCAAGCAGAAAGCACCACCCTTGGGATTATTTACCTAAACAAATTTTAACCTATACTTTTCCTGCAAATTTTGGTGTTGTTAAGTGAGAGTGTAACTATCCACAAAAGAAGGAACAAAATAAACACCTGCTCCTTGTTAACCACTGCAGTCCTCCCCAGCCTGATGCTTGCCAGATGTTCTGGGTTGTAGGTCTCATCAGACTCTGTGTTAGCCAGCGAGAAAAAACTGTGGAAACTGAAGTCCAAAACATATGGAAGGCACTATGCTGGGCAGTGCTTCCAAAAGCAGAGTCCAAGGGAACTGAACACAAACTCTATGTCTGGAATGACAATTAGATTATATCTCTCCCCAGGTGAGATAAAAAGAAACATTATCAAGGGGTTTAAAGAGGTGGAAGATTAATGAAAATTATATATTTTGTTTGCAATATTAACAATCTTCGTCTGTCATGGGGGAAGTGAATATATTTAGAACAGCAAAAGTACGAAGTAGACATGACTAGATGAAAATGAAAATGTGAAGTATTGGAGTAGGTTTTCCAATATAAGCATCAATTTCATTTAAGTACCAGTAGTTAAACAGAAGGTTTAGCTGGAAGAGACAAAAAGACACTTTTGGAGTAAAAGTGATATTGGATTGTCCACTGCATTCCAAAGCAGTTTAATCAGTGGCACTTTCTATAGTTGTCCTGGCCTTCTGCTACAGAGTTAAATTCAGCCAAAAAGCAAAAACATAGATAAGTAACTTGTAGCCATTTTAGCATGAACATCAAAAATTATTCAAAATTGTCTTCTCTGTGAGCATGCACCTTTCTGTGAAAAATATTAGCATATAGATAGGAATTTTTTGTTTCAAAAGCATGTACTTACCTAGTATCTGCACTTCATGGGTGATTCCATAGACATCTATCAGTGCCCAGAGAGGCCCAGAGACTTTGACTCCACAGTGAAAGAGAATCGGTTCTTCGTCATTAATGCTGTAGAAAACTCTCCCATGCCGATCAACCCAAAATGCCAGGATGTTGTCTCTTAGTGCAAACCTCTCCGGCAGAGCTTTGGCCCAGAAGCCAGGCCTTGTTACCAGGTCTGGGCAGGCATATTTTGGGATGTCATCTGCACTCATCAGTGATGGATCGTGAGTGGTGAAACCAAAACGCAGTGCACCACTCCACCCATGGTGTACAGAGACCAGCTTGAGCCTCACTTTCTCATAGAGGTGAATGGGTCGATTAGTGAAAGTGATACCATTGCAGAAACTGTTCCTCCGGGTTGCCTTCCGAGAATGGGCATCCAGGCGGATGTTTTTTCCTTTGGCCTGGAAGTGGAAGCGTGGGGGCTCGGTAATGGTGAGGACAGAGCGCCTCTCATGGCTACCATTGGGCAATGTGTAGTAAGGCCTATGGGACAGCGAGCGGGGCTGTTGGCTTGTGTCTGCAAAAACAAACAAAAAAAGTGTTTTAAGAATTTATCACTGAAAGCAAACATTCAAATTAAACCAGCAGTGCCAGAAGATAAGCTTCCTCCCATCTACAGCAGTAGTTCCCAACCTTTTTTTGACCAGGGAGCACTTTGACCAGGGAGCACTCTCCAACATTAGTACCAAAAAGGTTACGAATCAGTTTTTGGTCAACTTTAAATTTGGTTTGGTTATTTGGGGAGCTGATGTAGAAAACTGGATTGAATAGACTACATCAGCTCTATTTTCTGATACAGAAGATATGCCATCCAATCGTTGCCATCTGCTCATCCACAGAAAACCATATTGAATAATCTAGGGCAGATGTGGGAGTCATAATCTTTCGTGAGTAGTCAGCCTCTCTCCTCCTGACATCCCCGTTGCCTTGGTACTATAAGATGGTTTTGCATGACCAGTTGCTCTTGTTGCGTGGTTTCAAGGCAACGATGTAACAATGGTGAGGCTGTGGACCGTATTTTCATTCTTGCAAACCACTAGTAGTCCATGGACCCTAGGTTGGGAACCACTGATCTACAAAGACATACACAGGCTATGGTCTGCCAAGATTTTGCCCAGCAAATTTGGAAGTAATCCATATCGGGGCAAAGCTCTGGTGATTTTAATTCTTGAAATTCTTAAAATCTTAGAGTTGGAAGAGAACACAAAGTACATCCAGTCTAACCCTGCTCTGCAGCAAGAAACAATCAATATGGGAGCTTGTGAGGCTTCACAAAAGAATGTCCAATGCCACATTTAAACTATTAAGCCTGCAAGTGGAAAGGTAGCTTCCATGTCAGAAATACGGTCTACATGTTATGCTATTCAAAGGGGTAGACTTTTATATTTATATTGTAAATCTCTGCTGAATGAAATGTTTGTCATATCAACAAGGAGAGTGAACCCACAAATCAGCATTTCTTGTGATGACAACAGCTAAAACCATTCAACTAAGGGCCCTTCCACACAGCCCTATAAACCCAGAATATAAAGGCAGAAAGTCCCACATTATATGAGTGTTGACTCAAATAACCCAGTTCAAAGCAGATATTCTTGATATTCTGGGATATAGGGCTGTGTGGAAGGGCCCTAAGCATGCATATTTTTAAACTGAAAAGGTACCAATGTCCTGACTCTAGTTTGCTGTATCAATCCTATTTAAATTTTACAGTGTGCTTGGCAGTTTTAAAGACTGCTTTTATATTTGTTTTCCAGTTTTAGAATGTTAAGCTTATATTGTGGTGGAAATAATTCAGCTCTCCAGGTGTTGAATCACAACTTCTATCACTCTCACTACTATGCTGGCTAGAAATGCTTGGAGCTGCAGTCCAACAGCATCTAAAGAGCTGTAGGATTTCCATCCATTTTAGATGAGGATGGTTTAAATTCTGAAAATACATGTGAGACATCTTGATTCCTTTATTGTGATTCAGATATTTTGCCTTATGTGATGCTGGACATTTTGTTTTATATAATGCCAGAACTGAATTGCACAGCCAGGAAAGGGGAGTGGGGAAGGAAGGGGAAACCTGAATCTAAGGCACTGCAATTCATGTGCAATCTGTGAAAAAAATAATTGGCTCCCGTAAAGCTGTTTTTGTAGATCTAACCTATGACTTCTCCTTATGGCAGGAACAGTGTAATGGCAAGTATTGAATAATGGTTTCCCTTATTTTTAATAATGACACACGTGTGCACACATAAAAGTCTCAGCAAGGCACAATTAAAGTGTTTGTGTTAATAAACCTCATAGCCCACATCACAAACGTCAAAACAACTTTAATGTTCTAGCAATTAGCTAGTCCTTTTGCCAAAATGCTCATATAGAAGCTATAAGGGAGATAACACACACATGATTCATTCCTCTTTCCAATTTAGCAGGGTGGGAGGTGGTAAAGGAACAAGAAATGGAGGTGTATGAAAAAGCCATCTCTGCTAGTGTGGCTCAATGAAAGAAATATTTTTAGAGGAATACAAGAGCTCAAAACACAAGAGACCAAGAGCTCAAGACTCTCGGAGGTCCTTGAAATTACATGTTCAGAACTATGGACTATATGAGTAAGATTTTGTATTCTCACCTCTAAAAAATGAAATATTGCTTATGGAAAATTCACAGTTTTCTGTGTGCAGCTATTTGTTTAATATGGGAAAACAAGCATTTGATCCTTTCATGAAGTTTGGATAGGGTTGTACCGCATCCTAGCTGTTACCCATATCCTTAGCCCCTTTTCTCACAGATGAAAAAAATAAACTCTCTCACTAAGTTCATGTGAAGAAAATAAGTTTAGGTATTGGAGATTGTCCTTTAGGCAACTTGCCTATTAGGAGTTTAGCTGTTGAACTAGGACACGTTTCATTATGGAGTTGAAATCCCTGCTCAGCTACGGAAACCTACTGAATGACCTTGGGCACGTTACACTCTCTCAGCCTTAGAGGAAGGCAACCCACCCCCTTAACACATTCCTTCATTAAAAAAAAACCAAAATCAGAAATGATATTAAGGCACACAGCAACAATTCCCAGATCAAATGATAAAATCAGACAAGCAAAGAAAACCAAATTTATGAAAGTTATAGCTCATTTACAGAAACTGAGATGAATGTCAACAGCAGAATTCAACATAAATTCACAATGCCATGAAGTTTTCAATCAGTCAACATTTGGGGGTGGGGGGATGTCTATAGAGACTCTAGCATTCTCCATACTCTGAAAAAATATTTCAATTGTTTCTAATAATTTAGAAACAGTAGGGAATGTCAATGTCACTAAATCATCATGGAGAAAATAAATAATATATTGCATTGTCAATTATCTATCTTAAATATATTGAAGATATGTCACCTTAAAAGAAAATCCAAGGAAATTTATCTGGTAGTAATGAGAATGAACAGTAACAAGCCAGAATAATTTGATCCAAGCAGGAATAAGAGTCTCTGTATATGAGTGTATGCATGCAAGCATGTATACTTCGACAAAATCATTGAATCATGGGGTTGAAAGCAGGCTTGTAGACCACTGGATCCAATCCCCTGCTGTGTTCATATATACTTACACATACTCTCAGTCCTGCCCCAAACTCCATCCAACACTTTAAAAATATATTTCACTTGTATATTCAAAACTAAATACATATAAATAAATAAATAAATAAATAAATATAAATCCAGGTCTATATATATTCTGCCTTGGTCAGACCACACCTGGAATACTGTGTCCAATTCTGGGCACCATAATTTAAGGGAGATGTTGACAAGTTGGAATGTGTCTCAAGAAGGGTGACTAAAATGATCAAGGTTCTGGAGAACAATCCCTATGAGGAGAGGCTTAAAGAGCTGGGCATGCTTAGCTTGCAGAAGAGAATGCTGAGAGGAGACGTAATAGCAATGTATAAACATGTGAGTGGAAGTCATAGGGAGGAGGAAGCAAGCTTGTTTTCTGTTGCCCTGAAGACGAGGGCACAGAACAATGACTTCAAACTACAAGAAAGGAGAACTTTCTAATGGTGAGAGCTGTTCAGAAGTGGAACTCCCATTTAACCAATAAGTAATCTCTGCAGTCCCCCTGTGTTTGGTAAACTAGATCCAAGTTAACACATGTTGCATAGGACCATAAGTCAACTTTAGGAAGGCACATGTCCTTCAGTCCCGCACTCCACCCCACGCTTTGGACTGTCAGAACCAAACAGACTACTCTGCTTTCAAAGCAACCAGGTCTACAGAAAACCACTATTATTATCTACTAAGGTCTATATATGCGGCTGCTTGTAAAGGCAAAGGAAGAGGGGCTAGTAAAATGAAAACCTCACAACTACCGGTATGTGTCTTGAGTGATATCTGTAATAAGTCAAATCTGTAGCAGAAGTTGCGCCTCTGAGGATGTTACAAGGATATGCTTGTAATGTAAACATCCTGCCAAGGATGACAAATATGTTTTTAAGAAAAACTTTCCAAAAGGAGGGAAGCTAAATGACTTGTAAACCAAAATAAACAAATGGGAGAGGCACATCTGAGCTTCCCATGAGAAGCCTGTGGTCTATAATCTACCCTCAGCTTTACTGCACAAGTAGAAAAACTGAGATCTCTGAAGCACTCCCAACTTCCTGTAGGCAAAAATGAAGTGTTTCTGGCCACAGCATTCTGAGAACTCTGCTTTTCAATATATATATATATATATAACACTAAACTAAAAGGTTACTTGTAGAGAAGTGAGAAACACCTGCCCTTTCAGGATCTTAAAAGAAAAGTCAACAATGGGAACAGTGTAATTAAGCACACAGTTTTATCTTTCGGTGACAAACAGAAACGGAACTGGTAAGATATTTCTTTTCATTACATTTATCTTGAGGGCAGAGAGATATGGGAAAAGAATGGACTTAGAGCTACAACAGTGGTACATACTTCACAACTTAATGAATAGGGAGGTAGAGATAGGCTAAAAGGCAAAGATTTCTCAGGCATTCGAGGCAACGTTTACTCCACTGAACAGTAGGAGATTTATTGTAAACTTCAATAAGACCATGATAAGACCAAAGGACTCGAAAACAAAGGCCGGCATACATGAACGTATCAACCGTTAACAAATACCGTTTTTGTAAATGGACTGCAACCATCTCCCTCCGCAGTTGTTGCTATTGAAATGAACAAGATGGATTTGCCTTTGGAATGACAAAACTCTCTGCTAGTGTTCAGTTATAGTATTATAGTGTCGATGAAGTTGATCTAATTTTATTGTTACTGGCCAAGTGAAATGAATGGGACTTGATAATTACAACTAAGCAAAGGCCTACGGAATGAACAAGAGTTCTTTCTCCCACCCTGGACATCCCACAGATATATAAACTCCACTTGCCTAGTTTCCAACAGACCTCACAACCTCTGAGGATGCCTGCCATAGATGTGGGTGAAACATAAGGAGAGAATGCTTCTGGAACACGGCCATATAGCCCGGAAAACTCACAGCAACCCAATATTCTGGTCTC